GGTGCCTCAGCTGAGCCAACCTCCCCATGCACGCCCTTGCAAAATATGAGCTGCAGCGTTTTAAGAGCCAGGTTTATTTTTCTCCTGCAGTTCCCTCCTCTCGGTCCTCCTCCCCCCACTTCAGCGCAACTGAAACCTGATCTAATCCCTTTGCACATGGGTAATTTATTGGTCTATTGGGCTTTTCTTGATGGCAAATTGCATTGTCTTTCTTCCTGGGTTGAGGCTTTGGAGCAGTTTGCTGCATTCCTGCAGCTCTTTTCTCAGGGCTGATCTTTCACACCCCCTCTGAGCACAGTCAAATCAGTTTTATTGGGCCTCTTTGTTATGCAAACGAGGCAATAATAAGCAGGCTATTATTCGGCAAGATTGGCTCTGATTAGCAGTTCAAAGGAGGTCGCTGGCGGAGCTCCGGGTCGGAGCTGGGCCGAGGGTGATGCTGCCCATCCCCATGGGCCCGGACCCCAAAACCTCACAGGAGGAGCTCCGCAGGAGGAGATCCGTTCCGTCGGTTGTTCGAGGAGCACAGTGGTTGTTGCAGCCCTTTTCCCATCGTTCTCCTGCGTGCGATGTCCATGCAGGAGCTGCACGCTCCCTGAACTGAGCCGAGAGCCGTGCCTTTCCTATGGAGGTGTCGGCATAAATATGTTTATTTAGATTACTTAAATAAATATGTGTTTAGGAGCCCGAGTCTACGTGCTCAGATGTGAGGCCAAAGGTAATTACGTTTTACTGTGTTCTCCGAAAAGGCCTTTTACTGCATGTGTGAGGCTTGCACATCTACACTTCAATCCATGTATTTGGAAAGAAGCGGGGTGATGTATTTGCATCACATGTGGGTGATGAAATACTTTCCAGCCCGTTAGTAACCGAGAGGATATTAAACAACATCTCTTAGCAGTGAACGCTTTAAAATTAACAGGTCTGGTTAACATGCACCCAAGACTCTTAAAAGAACTGGCTTTTGCCTACTGAAGCTAATTTCCAGTAATTCTCATTGCTGGAGAAATTACAGGAGAAGGGATGAATTGTTGGGTTTGTGCTGGTTTTCTGCAGGAGAGTGATTTGGGTAAATGAATTTCGGGTAACCTGATGCCCGACGAAGGGAAAATAGGGGCACTGATCATTAGAAGGCGGTTAAAGTTTGGCTCTTAAAGTTGGATGTGTGTGTGGAGGAAGCCTGAACACTTACCCTAACAGCATGCAGCGTGGCGGGGCTGTGCTGGAAGGGAGCACGGTGTGGTTCTGCCATAGTGCTCTTCTTCAACCTTCGTGATCCTCTGTGGGCACAGGGGTGATGGGCCCATGGTTGGACTGGATGATCTTAGTGGTCTTTTCCAATCTTAACATTTCTGTGATTCTCTGACGGCAACTGATTTTGGGAAGCAGGGAAGCGTGCTTGATGGAATATGGTGAATTCACCACTGCTAGACACACTGCTGGGGCTGGTGGATGGCCATGGCTCACGGGTGGCCATGGCTGGTGGATAAACTTATCCCAGTGTGCACAGGCAGAGGTGAGGTGAGCCTTGCAAAAAGCCTCCTGCCGTGGGGAAGGGAGGCAGCAGGCTGATTGCAGGGCTGGGCAAACACCTTCCAGTGGGAACTTAAAAGTGCAAACCGTTTAGCTTATCTGGAGGATTGACAAGTGAGTTGATTGCCGTGTGTAAATATCTTTGTGGGAAACACATGCTGGTTACTAACGGACTTTTTTTACTGCTTTGGAGAAACTCGCTGGTTCTTTTTATGTCCTTACAATGAAGGCAGATAAAATCCACTTAGAAGCAGGACCCACATTTGTAAAGGTGATAAACTCCCACAGCAGGGGCATTGCTTTTTAGCTTGTGGTCACCTTGGGCTGCAGAAGTCCTCCTGGGAAGTACACTTGAACAGCTGCAGACACTGGGCTGGCAGAGTGGCTGTCACTGAATGTTCTGTCTAGCTTTAAACTTTCCCAGCCTGCCAGCCTTGACGCTGAAGGAAAGGTTGCTCCTTTTTTGAATGGCACCAACCCCCTGGAAGGAGAAGTGAGGAGGCCAGGTGTCATAGGCCAGGTGTCATTGGTACTGCCTAGTCCTCAGGTTGAAGGTCCATTTGCCACAGACCACAGTGACAGTGTCACTCAGAGATGAGGGTGTCACACAGGGCCTGGAGATCTTCCTCAGTTTCCTGCTCAGGAGGGGTTTGTTCCTGTGCTAAGTCATCTGTGGTTCAAAAACAGATCCATTGTGAGGAGATGGAAAATAGATTATGTGAAATTGAATAAACATCGCTCCCTGGCCCAGGTACAAATGCACAGCCTGCATGACTGTGCCAAAGCTGCTGCCAGGGGCAGGGGCACGGCATGGAACAGGACACGTTTGCTGCCCTCCGTGGTGGCTCTGTGCTGTGTCCCCAGCATGGTGGTGGTGGTGGCAGCCACGTGTCTTGCCCAGGGCTGTGTCACGCAGGTGCCTGTACAATCATTATATTCAGCAGTAAGCCCACTGAGCCCTGCCTGCAAACCCACAGCTCCTCCATCCAGCTCCCGTGGCCAGTCCACCCCATAGCAAAAAGAGGAGGCAACACCCCCAGGGCTTTGCCGAACCACCAGCCTGCTGAGAGGCACATCCATGGAGCAGCACGGTTGTGTGCAGCCCCGCTGTGCACCGCCCCATGTGCTGCTGCCACGGCACCTGGCTTGGAAATGTGGCCTTATATGGGGCCGTGTGCGAAACAGTGAGAAGGGGACGGGTGCCAAACCCAAGCGATAACATCTTAAAGAAGAATGCTCCCCCTTTCGGGCTCAGGGAGGGAAGAGATGGGCTTCCTTGCCATTGTGGATATTATTACTATTTTTTTTAACCCTGAACCTTATAAAGTGAGTGATCCTCGGTGGTGTGGCAGTGTGGGATGCATGTGGCACAGAGCGTTGAGGGCAGTTTTGCAGCAGCAGCTGCCGAGGAGCTGGACTCGATGGTCCTTCAGCAATGGGTTATGACTTCACTTCTGCTAAAAATTCCATACAGTGTGTCCCGATGTCTGGAACCAGGGATTGAATGCCCAGGGACGTGTCCTGGTGTTCCCAGGGGCAGCAACATCTGTCTGTGTGCAGCCTCAGGGCACCCTTGAGCAAGGCATTAGGCATAATGGGAAAGCAAGGATCCTGTTGCCTGGTGCCACAGGCATTGGGGACAGCCAGCAGTAGTGGTACCAGTCACTTTTCTGCGTGCATTTTAATTCATACCTTCCACTGGGAATGCCACCTCCAGCACCAAACTTCCCTTCTCCCTCTGATTCAGGCACTGCGCAGCTATAGTATAAGCTGTAACAACCACAGCAGAAGTGTCAGCCCATGTCTCAGGTCCAAAGCTTGTTTTCAGGTCTCCTCCAGCTGATGGCAAGTTACAGCGGGATACGAGGGTTTCCACAGTGCTTCTTGCAGGTTTAAATTGGACACTGCCAAGCTGAAACAGCTCCTGGGTTCTCAGAGCTGTTGCTAGCATCTGTGCTTATTAAAACAAGAATTTTAAAGCTGTGAGGAACCTGTCACCGTTTCCTATTTGCACTTCGCTCTTCTTGGAAAGAGCACGCAGCCCAAGAGCCGGACTGCTGAGTGTTTTATAGCTTTGCTCTCTCTTTCTGATTTTCCAGCACTGACTGTGTTTAGGTTTCCAACACTGCAGTGTTTAAAACTAAAACACGCTGTTTTGCCTGCAACAATGCTGGGTTTTGTAACTTTCTTTTTAAACAAACGTGAAATGATTTTGGCACAGATGCGTTGCCAGCCTCCTTCTAAACAAGCGCCAAGACAGGAATATATGCACATGCAAAAGCAGCTGGAAATAGTGGGGCTTTTTCTCTTGTTGCTCTGCTGCCTTCTGTGCCTGATCCCATCTCCAAGCCCTCTGAAGGGGTTTGATGAAGAGGAGAGGAAGGAAAGCACCATGCATGTCAAGTGGTGCGAGCCTGGGTTCACCCAGCAGGGCTCCGGATTGGCACAAGCAGTGTCTGCATGCTGTTCAGTGAACGCCATGTGCTTCTGCACAGCTGCGTTCAGCTCCGCTCCAGGGAAGCCACACAACCCTGGGGAATAGGCACTGGGAAGGGGAATTAAAAAAAAAAAAAAAAACAAAAAGAGCAGGATCCAAATTTCCTTTCCCTTCCTCCAGCTTGCCGAGCCCGGCAGAGGCTCTGCTGCCTTCGGCTTCTCCGCGTGGGCAACAGCAAGCGGGGAGGCTGGCAGCCTGCACCCTGCTGTGCCGGTTTTTCTCCTCTGCGTCAGCCTCCCGCTCTCTCTCTGCATGGGTCATGGTGGGGAACGGGCCTCCTGCCTCTCGCCCCGGGCTCCCGGAACACCCAGGGGTGCACTGCAGCATGGGGTGCTGCAGGAGGGGTGCACGGCTTCTCAGCTGCAGCACCAAACCTGGCAGCGCAGTCCCTGAGCTTGGATCCCGCTCTGCCCCGTGGTGCTATCACTGCATGTCTGGGGCACAGTGACTGTGCTGGGGATGGGTTTTCCCATGCCCAGGGAAGAAGAATAGGAAGGACCATGGATTTCTGCCACGGTGAAAATTAGGCAGAACACGCGGTAATTTGCGCCGCACCATTTTCAATGTCAAGTGCTAAAAAGGCATAAAAACCCCATTGCATCTCTCCCACCACATTAAGAACCCCACTGCTCCTCCCACCACATTAATGATCCTGCCTTATCCTGTTAATGAATGAGTCCCATTCTTCAATACCCCGTTTTCCCCCAGGAACATTCATCTGAAGGCCGGGTGCTCTTTCCCTTCTTGGCTTAAATTGGGGCACATTCTGTTGGCTTCCTTGGCTTTGATGCATGAAAGCTGGGTCTTGTGAGAGGGTCATGTCTGGTGAGCGAGGTCATGTCACGCGGTGCAACCAATGTGATGGGGTTGGGCTGCGGGAGCCCGGCTGGGGATAGAGTTGGACCTCACGATGTGCAAGGTGAGAACCACGCAAGCATTGACCCCGTTGTCTTTTCTCCCTGCCTCGCAGTGACGTCTCCATGCAAGATCCTCAAGTGCAACTCTGAGTTCTGGGCGGCCACGTCAGGTTCGCACCACCTGGGCGCAGAGGAAACCCCGGAATTCTGCACGGCGTTGCGCGCCTACGCGCACTGCACCCGTCGCACCGCCCGCACCTGCAGGGGGGACCTGGCCTACCATTCGGCCGTGCATGGCATAGACGATCTCATGGTGCAACACAACTGCTCCAAGGATGGCCCCACGTCCCAGCCCCGCCTCCGGACATTGCCCCCCGGGGACAGCCAGGAGCGCTCTGACAGCCCCGAAATCTGCCACTACGAGAAGAGCTTTCACAAACACTCGGCAGCTCCCAACTATACCCACTGCGGGCTCTTCGGGGACCCCCACCTCAGGACTTTCACAGACACCTTTCAGACCTGCAAGGTGCAAGGGGCTTGGCCGCTCATTGATAATAACTACCTGAACGTCCAGGTCACCAACACGCCGGTGCTGCCTGGCTCTTCAGCGACCGCCACCAGCAAGGTGAGCCTTGGGCACCTGAGCTCGTGAACAGGGTGCAGGTGCTTCCGAATGCCATTTCTTCCCAAAAGTTGTCTCTTCAACAAGTTGTCCATCTCCTTGGGGAGGGTAAGAGTGGTAGTTCCTCTGAAAGCGGGCATTTGGCCGTAAATATCAGCTGCCCATCCAGACTTTCCTCTCCTGTCTCTACAGTTAGCAGGATGGGATAGAACCATAGAATCGTTAAGGATGGGAAAGACCACAGAGATCATCTGGTCAACCATTGCCCCATCCCCACCATGTTCACTAACCATGTCACTCAGTGCCACATCGCCACGGTTCTTGAACGCCTCCAGGGACGGTGACTCCACCACTCCCTGGGCAGCTGTGCCAGCACCCAACACACTTCCTGAGAAGAAACTTTTCCTCATATCCAACTTGAGCCTCAGTGCAATTTAGAGCCATGGCTGCTGTAGTTTAGAGGGCAATACAGAAAAAAAAGAATGGGGATGACAAATTTAAGTCCCCTCCTGAGGCACTGCAGATGTCTGTGCACAGGCAGACTGGGAAAAATGGCAGCACTTTTTCAGGGACATCTGAGGTCCAAACAAACCCAGGGCTGGCCCCAAGGGCCACCACTTCTGGATGTGACTGTTTCAGCCTGAGCTGAAGCTGACATTTTGGTTTTGACATGTCCTTAATAAACATCCTTACAGATAATTACTGATGCTTGCAACTCCTTATTTACCAAAGAGTGTTAAAAACTTGCTGAAGCAGTGCAGTTAAGTCTGGCTGGAGGGAGGTGGTCCCTGAGGATACAGGGACCTACAATTCTAAGCTGGATCGGCTGGATCCCAAGATCACCATTTTAATTGAGCCTTTTCACCCGTTATCTGCCTCACAGGCTTGCGGTGGCAAGAGATTAGTCATGAGATCTGCAGCATGAGCTATGGGATGCATTCCTGGGCCACTGATAGTGGACCATGTGCTGTTGAAAGGAAAGCCTCTTCCTCCAAGGCACTCTTTGTATTTCTGCTTGACAGTCTTTGACTTACCCTTATGCCTTCCAGCCAGAGACAGGGTAGGACCCAGAGAAGGTGGCAGGACATCTATGGGAGGAGTAGTGCTGCAAGGTGGTGCCTCAGGACACAGCTGAGAGGACAGCGCAGCTGCCACTGGGTTGGGAGCATCTGTGCTCAGTAGAAGAGTGGTGGGAGAGAAGGGCAGGGATGGTTCTGGGCTCATGCTGGGAGCAGAGCAGCTGGGAGCCACCAGTGTGCTCAGCCCAGGCCTTCGAGTTGCCTCCGTTTTCCCCTTTGTGTCACGCCTGCTTGAAGATACTGAATGCATGTGGTTGAGATGGAGCACAACATGTGCAGGGGTCCAAAGGAAAAGCCCCCCCTGTTCGTCTACAAAGCCGGGGAAGGGAGGAGGCTGGGACTGCGGGATGTGAATACCATGGGAGCCAGAGAAGCTCCACCACCTATTGGAGCCAGGCCCTGGGGGCGAGACAGTGCTGCATGCATGGGCATGCCACCACAGGCCTGCGCCTGCTGATCCTGCAACCAGCTCCAGCTGCATGGGAGCTCTGCGTGGGGCCTGGAGATAACAGCACAGCTCCAGGAGGCGCGTTCAGTCCAGGCTCTGGGTCTTGGCATCAGTGCACGGTCTCTTTACCTCCACGCTGAAGCAGGATGAGCACATTTGAGTGTGTAAAATTGGAGCATCTATCTTGTCTGGGTGTCTAAAAGTTGGGGCAGCTTCTTAAGAGAAAGTGCCTACCGCTGAAATGGAGGCCAACGTCCTAGCTGGGTCGAGCAGGCCGCTTTTTCACCTCCCACCTTCATCCTGGTGGTGGCTGTGTGCTCTTGGGTGGTCAGCTTGTAACCCCATTCCTTTTCATCCTTCTCTTCCCACAGCTCACCATCATCTTCAAGAGCTTCCAGGAATGCGTGGAGCAGAAAGTGTACCAGGCAGAGATGGATGAGCTCCCTGCTGCCTTTGCTGATGGCTCCAAGAACGGCGGCGACAAGCACGGAGCCAACAGCCTGAAGATCACCGAGAAGGTGTCAGGTCAGCACATCGAGATCCAGGCCAAGTACATCGGCACCACCATCGTGGTGAGGCAGGTGGGCCGCTACCTCACCTTCGCCGTGCGTATGCCAGAGGAGGTGGTCAACGCCGTGGAGGACCGGGACAGTCAGGGCCTCTACCTGTGCCTCCGGGGTTGTCCGCTCAACCAACAGATTGACTTCCAGACCTTCCGCTTGGCTCAGGCCGCTGAGGGCCGTGCTCGCAGGAAGGGGCCCAGCTTGCTGGCCCCCCCTGAGGCCTTCACTTATGAATCGGCCACGGCCAAGTGCAGGGAAAAGCTGCCCGTGGAGGACCTCTACTTCCAGTCGTGCGTCTTTGATCTCCTGACTACGGGGGATGTCAACTTCATGCTGGCTGCTTATTACGCCTTTGAGGACGTGAAGATGCTTCACTCCAACAAAGATAAACTGCACCTCTATGAAAGGACACGGGCCCTAGCCCCGGGAAACGCGGCTCCCTCGGAGCATCCCTGGGCCCTCCCTGCCCTCTGGGTAGCACTGCTGAGTTTGAGTCAGTGTTGGTTGGGTTTGTTATAGAGTTTTGCTCCTTCACGCTGTGGGGAAAGGGGAGCAGGAGGGGACAAGGGACAAGATGACAGCACTGGACAAGGAGAGATTGGATAAAGGATCCAACGGGGAGCACATGGATCGTCCTCAGATCTCAGCCCCTTTCCAGCAGCCAGTCTTTCATCACCCCAGCTCTTGCCCAGAAGGAACACTATGCCCTGAGGATGTTTGGGAGATTTTGTTGGACTACACCTCAGGTGGTCCTTCCTCACTTCCCCTCACCTTCATCCTCCTCCTCTCTGTAGCATGAGTGCTGGGGAGCCCCCGCCTCCTTGCACTGCTGCTCCATGGTCCCAAAACGCTCATGGTGACTGTGATGTTGGCATGTGTGAACATGGCTTTGTGTTAGGGAGCCACAAGCATAATGTGGCTGGGCTCCACTTTTTGGGGTGTGCTTCTTTCTGCAGCCCCATCGCTGCAGGAAGCAATGCAAAGCAACAGGCAGGTGCCGAAATGGCGGGGCTGACCACAGAGAGAAACAAGGTATCATGGTGGAAGGAGGCTGTGATCCTCAAGCTACAGCTTGTGTTTTCTGTGGTTCAAAAGGCATCTGCTATTTTAGCCACTTCACCTGGCTGATTCACTCCAGTTTTATTCCTGGCTCCCTTGTCTCTACCTGGACCCACTGAGGACTCTTGATTGCGACAGGAGAAACCTGGCCAGTATTCAAGCATTTTCTTTAACTTCTGCCCAGTGTCAGACGAGCTCCTTGTGCCGTTTGCTTCCCTAAAACTGGCACTGGGGAGGCTGCTCAGTGGGAGACCCCATCTGCACCCCCTCGAGCCCCGTACCCCCTTACCTGCCCGTGGATCAGCCAGGTCCCGAAGCAGGAGCATCCCTCTCTGTTTGCTGCTAGGTCTCTGCTCCACTCCTTCTCCCAGGGTCATGACTTGCAACCCCATTGCAGACCCGTTGCACCTTAAGCCCATCTGGGCTTGTCTCTGGAATGGGGCAATGTTAGAAATTCAGCCAGGAGACAGGATGCAGCAGAGGGCCCCCCTCCCCATCTGCCCCCAGATGTCTGTTCCCTCCCTCAAGACCATTGGTAATGTTCTTCCCCCACCACACAGTGCTTCCCTTCTCTTCCCCATATTCCTCTGTGGTTCACCTCATCGCTCACTGAACAAAACGAGACCACCTTTGGTCTGCACCTTGGAGACCTCTTTGTGGATTTTCCCTCCTTTCCTCAGGGGGAATTTCCCATAAGTCATCCCCAGACATGCGTTACTCTTGGGGGAATGTCCTGCTCAAGGGAGGTCTCTGGGCACAACGAGACAAGCTAGCACCAAAAGAGGTGGGAATAGGCAACCTTTGGCAGTCAGAACTGGTGCCAAGAGGCAGCCTGGTGTAAATACTCAGCGTGACTTTTCATTGTGTCCTAACAGCTCTAGAGCTCCATTTGTAAAGCAGCAGAGAAATGCAAAATTGTGTCAATGGATGTAATTTATATTGTCTCTTTAATATATAGAGCCCCGGCATTGATCTCGTGTGACTGTACAGATGAAGAGATGTAATTGGTTTTTAAACGTTTAAGGAAAGAAAGAAAAAGGAAAAAAAAAAAAAGAAAAAAAAAAAAGATGTGTTTACTACTTTGCTCCTTGCTTTGTTTGCTGGTGCCCCAGAAGTTCTGTTTAGGCAGGTTTTAAAATAAGGATATCTCAGTTTGATGGCACTGAGGAGACCAACTGCTGGGCTGCTGGGCTTCCCCATGTGCTGACTGCTCAGCAAGGCTGATGGGGACGTTTTTGCTATACTAAATAGCCAGACTTTTGTCTCCTGGAAACCCAAAACCCACATTTTGAAAGGCAGAGTTTCTCACTCAGAGGAAACATCCGTCTCTCGCTGCTACCCCATAGGTAACAGCCATGGTGCAATGTGGTCTTAACTGACCAAGCCACAGCGTGCCAACAAGTACATCCATCCCATAAGACCTCCCCTAATTACCCATATAGGGTAACTTCCAGCCAAGGAAAGCCTATTTAATTACTGCGTGGCTCTGTCCCGCTGTTGGGGTGAGCAGCCCAGCTGGTGGTCGGCTGTTAGAAGGTGGTTGGGGTATCCCTATTTTAGAAGCAAACAGTGAAGCACTTTATTTTGGTTGTGTTCGACCCAGTTCTGCTTAGAGGTGAAGTGTGGCCAAGAAAGACCCTGATCGATGGAAACAAAAAGGCGTAGGGAAGGGAGGGGTGTGACGGGATGGTCCCCGCCTCCCTGCGCTCAGACCCACGGAGTGTCACCGCCTGTACATACTGTAAATTATTTATTGAGAGAAACGCAAGTAAAGTTTGAGGGTTTTTTTTTTTTTTTTTTTTGACAATAAATTAGTGGGTCTCGTTTTGTTCCCGGTGTGTTCTGTGGTGCTGCTCGCCGCTCGCTGCCCCATTTCTGCCCCTTCCCCGAAGCGGTCCGCTTCAACCTATAACCCGAGGAGCCTTTCACACCTCATCCCTGTGCTGGAATTGGCCTAACCGTGCGGATTTCGTCCCGGCGGCCCTGCAGCTCCTGTCCGCCAGCAGGGCAGCACGAGATCCGAGATCCCCCGGGCGGCTTTTGCTGGGAAGCGGCCGCCCTCTGCAGGGCCGGCTGTGCCGCGGCACGCAGCGAACGCGCAGCTCCCAGACACGGGGCGGGCGGGGGAAACGCTGGGGAACGGCGAGGCGCAGCTCGCGGTGTGCGGGCGCTGCCGGCCCTGCGCTGCACCCTGATGCGGGCTGTGGCCGATGGCCAAGTGCACGTGCAGATCCCTTTGGCCTGGGGATGGTCTGTGAGCGGATCAGCCTGACGTTACACCGCCGTGCCCAAATCCTTACCTGCACCCTCGTCGGCCCCGAGCTTCTCCACCTTCTCCGTGGGTTCCCCTGCGTACGCGATGAGGCGGCGCTGAACGAAGACCCGCAGCCTCGGCTGGGTGCACGGCGCTGTGCTCGGGACGGCAGCCCGCCTCCCGCAGCCCCGCTGCAGGGCCTCCAGCCCCTCGCCGTTCTGACAGCCCCATCATTCTTTCCATTAGGAAACCCATTTTTCAGGGGCACGTAACTCAGCCATGAAATTTCAGTCCCGGTCGAAACTTGGCTCGATTCAGCAGGAGAGAGGCTGGAAAGGGGCGGACGCCGTGGCTGCAGGTGTGAAAAGCAAAAGCCCTTTTTACAATGAGCTCTTACAACTTGGGAGAAATGGCTTCAGTCCCTGCGCTGTGCCTCGCTGGGGACTCGGTGTGAACGGGTGGAGGGGAAAAAGCAAAGTGAAGCACAGCCCATCACATCGCAGCTGGGGAGAGGGGGGACGGAGCAGAGAATGCCACCGATGAGCCGGGAACATTGAAAGGGGGATCGTCCCAGTAAAGGGCCAAAAAGAGGATTGTATACCACAGAGATCCCAAAGAGCCCAAGGTTGGGTAAACATCACCACCATCCTGGATGGAAACCAGCAAGGAAATGGCACAGCTTCCCCTGATCAGGTGGCAATTCCCATCCAAAGGGGTTTCCAAGTCTGGATCAACCCCTCTATCACCAGAGGCTGCAAAAGTACATAAAACAGCTGAAAACAACAACTTGGACACGCTTATTCCTGCACAGTGAAAATACCCATCCTGGCATGCAGGGAAAGGTCCCAAAATCCTGTAACACCCCCAATTTTCAGCACCCACCGCATTGCATCCAGTCTGGCACAGTTCTGAAAACCTCAGGAACACTTTTTAATATACAAGAATCAAAAGTACAGCAGTTTTACAATGTAGGAAAATTTAATACATACTATATAAACAACATATTTACATCAGAAATCACTAGGACAGTGGCATTTTTTTTTTCACAAATATAAATTAATATTAATTACTGTTTTTTTAGTCAACAGGTTTAAAAGACTTTTACAGTAAGAGTCCTTCTCTCCCTGGAGGGAGGTGGAGGTGGGGAGGAAATGAGTGAAAGCAGAGAAGTGTTTATGTGGGGGTCACTTAAACTGTTCACGTGAGGGACCTCAGAGAGCCACCTTGGTTGGGCACCATCTGCTCTGCAGGATTCCACGGGCTGAACTCACAACATTTCCCAGGGGTCAGGCTGAAAAACGTTCTTAAGAAGACAAACGAATGAACGAACGAACGAATGAACGAACGAATGAACCAACAAACACACAAATGAACAAACAAACCCAACACATTGCTACTTTTTCCTGCAAAGAGGAGAGAGGAAACCCCACAGCTGGCTCAGAAGGAAGAGCTGTACCAGATGGTGACACAGACAGCGCAGTGACGTTTATGGCTGTGGATCTGTCCCCTCCAACGCCACTCACACCAAGTGACTACGTCTGGTCCCTATTTTGAGGGGATAAAATGTGTGCACGCACACCTGGGGAAGACTTTCCCTACAAATTTCCAGCCTGCATGAATGTGCAGTCCAGTGAAGAGCCATCCACTGTGAGTGAGCAAACCCAAGTGACTGTTCAGTGGCAAAGCAGCGTGACAGGGGGGACCACTCTTCGCCAGCTATGGGCAAAGCTTTTGCTGTTGCACTGGTTTCAAGAAAGAAACCCCAAACCACCTCATGCTCGGAACCTGGGATGAACAGAACCCCTCATGCATGGGCACAGAAGTGCCTCCTGTTGGAAGTCTGAAGTTATCCTGCACCAACCGTAACACTGGTCTGGCCAGTATTGCCTCTTGCTACGACTTGTATGGCACAAACTTTCCATCACGACAGCACCACTGTGTGAATGTGAAAAGAGCAATTTCTCCTTGCCCCTGTGAGGTTTCTTCCAATTTTACTTTAAAAGCTAATACCTCTGAAAAGAAAGGACCTCTTTGTTGAATACCACAGCAAGTGCAATCACAGCTTAGTGAGAAAGGCAGCGGCAACGCGTTGCCTCAACGCCTCCGGCACGGCGTGGAGACGTGGGGGTTAGTGTTGATTTGTGTGTGCTTTCCAAAGCGCCTGGAGCAGGAAGGCCAGCCCTCAACACCCCTCGGACTATCAGGGAAAGGACATCACAGCTTATTAAGGTCATATACTGGCATCTTAACAGAGCCTCAATTTCTGCCCCCCACCAAGAAGAGCAGCCTGGAACGGCCTGATCTTTAATACTGAACTCTGGGAGACGAAGCATCCGCAGATATCACGCTCTGGGCAGCCTGGCTGTTGGGAGAGCTTTGTTCATTGCAGGGATGCAGTTCTACTGACAAGGACCACACTGGCTTCTGATCAGCAACCTGTGCAGAACCGCTGCGCACACCGCTGGCTGGACACTGTTCTGTATCATCTGCAATGACTCCAACGCTTGGAGAAATGTTTGCTCTGAATCCCGCTGAGCTGGGCTGCAAACCCCTCTTCTCCCTCTGCCCTGCCGGGCCTCTAAAACATTTGCACCAGGAATTTTTAAGTACCAAGTCCTGAATTCCTCATTTTTTTTTCCTCCTCACTTAAGTGCTAAGCCCGCAGGCACATCTCCAACTTGAACTGCTGAATGGTGGCAGAAAGGTGACAGGTGTGACCATTCCCAGACAGAGATCAGCTCACAGCACTGCCTTTCAACTGTGTGCTACCACCCCTTATCTTTTGGTTGTACTAAAGGTTTGTGATCACCATTTTGTGAAGCACAGAGAGAAATGACAGAATTAGGAGCTTCAGGGTCCCCAGATGCCAAGAGCCATCTCTTGTCCTGGTAACTCACAGCTCCCAGCCAACACCTGTGTTAATTCCTGGATATCCAAGCTGCCCATGTCAGGAGAGAAGAGGGGTCTTGTTCTGAATTCCTGTGCCCTGTCAATGAGGAAATACTGCTCTCACCCTAGTTTCTTTCCTATTTGTTGGAAGTGAAATAAGCCTTTGCTACAGAAGTCTGCCTTTTTTTCACATATCCCAGAGTCTCCCAGAGTCAAGATTTGCTGATTCCAGCCCTGGATCCCCCTCTGCTCTTCTGCGGCAGTGAACACAATGGCAGACACAGCAGAGCCAGTTTCTTGAAATGGATAAAGACACGAGAAATGATAATGAGTCCAGAAAAGTGATGGATTGTCACCAGCATGGATCCAACTCCTTTGGAGTCACTGTAGGGACACAGAGTCCCTCTTTCAACCAAGCCCTTGTGACAACAACAGCTTGGATGCTGAGGGAATCTCCTATCCCTCCTGGAATATACCATCCATTGACCTATGCTGGTTACACACAAAGCCCAGCCCAACCAGTTTATCCCCAGTCCCAGAGCAGCATCTGTCATGTAACATCAAGACCAAGCAGGCACACAGCCTTCTGGCACAATCCTAAGCAGCACTGATCCACCTTCTCGGTTTTGAGGAAACACCGTGGCTGAGGAAAATTCTCCATGTGTCCGTTGGATTGGGGAAAACAAACCAAAGAAAAAGAATGAGGCAAGTCTGGTTCCAATGTTCAATGAGAGAAAGGGGGGAAACAAAATGGGAACCCAAATTAGAACTGAGTCTTCCTCCACCTGCTCCTCCAAAATCCTCCTTGACCCAGCAGGATGATAGCAGCATGTTCAGAGTTTCTGGTTGTTGCATCCAAGTCTTTCAAGATGTGTTTCCCCCCTTCTCATTCGCTTTACGTTTTCCTAATGTTCCAGTTATAGTCTGGATTGTTTTTCTGTTCTAGCGATCTATCCAGAGGTGATCTGTGATCGAGAGGCGACTTGGAATCATGAGGAGATTTCTGAGAGGGGGGCGAGCGAGGGTCCGACACGGAAGGGTGAGGTGGAGGAAGGGGCTGTTTGTAGTCTCCCGGTTTGTCTGTGTGGAAGGACCGGTAGTGGTCCGAAGGTCCTTGGCCATGGTATCCCATGGGCGGCCTGTGATCAGACATCCGTCGGAAATCCTGCTGGTGGTAATTCTGAGGCCTGAACTCATCGGATCGTCGGCGCTTGGAGTCGTGGTGGTGCCTGCAGAGAGAAAATGGGTGGATGGAGGTCAGCTCCCCAAGGAAAGCAGCACTGAGGGACACGACTTAGTGGGCAGGGTGGGATGGGGTGACGGTTGGACTAAATGGTCTTAGAGGTCTTTTCCAACCTTAACGATTTTAAGGAAGCTTGTCCACGGTGGCTGGGTGCACGGCTGCAAACCCCTGCCAGCCTTCCCAAGAGGAACTAGAATTACCTGTCATAGTAATCCCGGTGGCCTCTGTGGTCTCGGTCACTGCTGTACTGTTCGTACGGCCTCTTGCGGGAGAGGTTATTTGGTCTGTAGTTCCCAGAGCTCCGGTGCGGGTCTCCACGAGATCGCCGGTCCCCATAGTGGTGGTCCTTGTACCAGTGCTGCTCGTATTGGTGATGCCGCTCCCCACCCCACATCTGGTTGCTGTTGCCACTATAGCTGAACTTTCGATCTCGTTGCCACTCTCCTCGGTCTGCAATGAGGAAAGCAGTGAGAAGTGTATTCTGTGCTTTAATTTTAAGCCTTAGTACTTCTTTGCTCAATTCTCAAAGAACTGATTAACCTTTTACTGTTGCTCCTTTGACCTTTTCTTCCCTAAATTATACGGATCCCATTTTATTCCTTGTATATCCTCACCGTTATTCTAGCAAAACTCATTCTCTCCTGTTTTTATACTCTCTCCCCATACTGTTACCGTGTTTTTAGTCCAGCAGTAAGAACAGCAATCGCGTACATTCCATCCCATCACCTTCAAACTTGAGCAGCCACAATTTGTGTCCAAGAGCAAACAGCCACTAGGTTAGGAGGAATGGTTGCTTCTGGTTTCCCAGCACCCACCTGTGTTGCTGAAGTGTCTCTTGGGGGGATGGCCGTAGCTTTCACGTGGGTGCCCGTGCATCTGCTGCTGGGCATGGGAAGGGGGCATGTGGAGCTTCTGGGAATGAGGATTGTGAGGCACGTGAGACTGGGACATGGCAGGATCACGGCTGGAGCCGGAAGGCTCTGGGCGGAACGGCTTCTTCATGCTGGGCATGCTGGCCATGTCCTCCTTCTTTTTCTGCTCCTGCAAGGGGTAAGAGAGAGTTATAGCTCAGCTGCTCTTCAACCACAACTCAGATTATGTGAGCAGTGGCCCAGTTTGTCAGGCCCTGCGCTGGAGATCCCCCGTTTTGTGGGCCACCCACCCCCTTGTGAAGCAGCTGTGCCCAAGTATGAGCAAGTGCAACAAGTGGTAAAGAAAGCACCCAGAGGAAAGGCACTTCAGATCTCACCTCCTCTTCCTGCGACCTTTTCTTATGAGCCATCTTGTAGAGTTTGTGCAGCTTTCTGGCATCAAATTCTGTGAACTTTGACACAAATATCCATAGGTTCCTGGAAGGACATGAACATTTTCTGTTAATTGTTATGTGAGCTGTTCAACTGCCATCTGCTTTCAAACCAACACCAAATCAGTTCTGCCCTCTAAGGAAAACAGCCACATTCCAACTCAGGACAGGATGTTTCAGGAGAGTTGGAACAAAGCCCTTTGAAGTAGAATAACTGTTTTGCACTGGTTTCTCTAAACTAGCTCTGAAATCAATTTAAATGAAACCAGCACAACTTGGAGACAAAACCCTCACCAGAGGCTGGTCAAGGACTGAAAGGGCTACAGAACATGAGGTTTCTCTTACATTCAGTAAGAGACAAATAGCACACACTCATCCACATGAAACCCAGCAGCCTACAAGTGCCATTTTGAAATATCACAGATGAGCAACGAAATGATCCCTCACCTTCTCCATAGTTTGATAAGATCCTGGTCGGTGTAGGCTTTAAGGCACTCAGAGATGCGGTCCCCAATTTTTAGGAGGCAGTTGCGTGTGTGCTCCAGCTGTTCTTGAACCGTCAGTCCCTTATCAGGCTTATCAAGCTGTTTCAGTGCTTTTTTCACTGGTCTCATCCTTTCCTTGCACTTGAGAAAGAAACAGTAGAAAGTGATTCACTTGGCAAAGGGCTCTGCACTGTTCCCTTGTTAATCAGAGCTGAAAAAAGTTCATTAGCATGAGGTATTAGCTTTATCTAACCATTAGGCAAGGAGAAATCATCTCTGAAAGCAGCAATTTGTTAGACATGCTGCAGAAAATAATCAGGAAATGATGAGTCTCTCCATCTCTGCTGTCCCCTCAGCCTTTTAGAGGTGAACAGTTTGCATTGCAAACAGTAAATGCACATGGGCTGATCCCAGGACAGGCAGGGAAGTGGAACTGAGCATCGACACGCTGAACGAGCAGCCCCAGCTGAATTAGTGCTCTCAATAGCCTCCCTGTCCATCCCAGCCTGTGTTTGCTTTAATGTATTGCTTTTATTAAGACCGGGAGACATGAGATGAAAGCATCACCTTTTTCTAGTGGAGGCATCAGCACTTTGCATAGACAGTACATCAGACAGGTTTCCACTGCCTGACTGGACCTTTCATGCACCACAGAGGGAAAATAAAAGGGAAAAAGAAAAGCCATAAAGATAACATAGGGCCTACAGGGAATACACAGATTTGAAAATACAGAGATTTCAAAGTACAGAACTGTTTTTAAAAACTGATACTTCAGCATTTCACTATGTAAGTCAGACAAAGAAGCATCTGTCACAACAACTAGGCTATTTTTACAAGCCTTGCAGGCATGTTTGCTGCCAGAACATTTACAGTTAGGGATGTGCTTACACAGCTCCAACAACTCCATACCAACTACAGCCATACAAGGTCACTCTTCAAGTCCCCCTGTATTTTGCCACCTACAGCAGCCCCCAATGGCTCGCTGGCCCCTACAGCAGACAAGACTGCCACATCAGGCTGCTGCATCATCTGTGACCCAGGCTGCCAAGTGACCAGTGGGAGTTTATTCTTCCACTGCTTGAAGGGAGCACATAAAAATGATGGGGAACAACTGTTTACATGGGTTGATAGTGATAGGATAAAGGGGAATGGTTACAAAGTAAGAGAAGGGAGGTTTAGGTTAGCTATTAGGAGGAAGTTTTTTACTCAGAGGGTGGTGTCACACTGGAACAGGTTGCCCTAGGAGGTTGTGGATGCCCCATCCCTGGAGGCATTCAAGGCCAGGCTGGAGGTGGCTCTGGGCAGCCTGGTCTGGTGGTTGGCGACCCTGCACATAGCAGGGGGATGAAACTGGATGATCTTTAAGGTCCTTTTCAACCCAGGCCATTCTGTGACTCTGTGATACGATCAGCTGACAAAGAGAGCTCTTCTGAGCTTTGAAATTTCTTCCAATTGAGGTGCCAGAGGACAACCCTCGCTGAGCAACTCTCGGGCAGGGTTGTTCTGTCATGCTGTAGACCAACTAGAAGAAATTGATGTGGGGCTCTATGAGGAGGGTCTCTCCTTGCTGAAGTGGATTTACAGATCAGCTCTGACACCTAAAACACACCCTTGAATATGGTACAAGCAAACACTGGCTCACTAGGAGGCTCTGCCATTATCATCCCATCTCCTGAGGAAATACTCACTATGCTGAATGTTTCTTGGTCCAGATCATCATCCTCATCTTCTCCAATAGGGACTGGTTCACTCCCTGCTGTAATATGGACAGGACCTTGCGATCTCTTCCCTTTACTTCCAGATTTGGCTTCACCACCTTTAGGCTTTACAAGGACAAATTACATCACATGATGAACCAGTCTGCAGGACCCCAAGTGATCCAAGTAACAGCCTGCACACTATTGTTACTGGCAGTCGTTAAACCCTGGGCACAGCTCCTACAACTTTCCTCCCAAGATTTCAAACTGTTTTGCTGTAATGCCTCTGTTTAGCTTTATGTCATCCCTGAGGGAGCAGAGGGAGCTAAGAGCCAATGTTTTGGACCTGAATATTATGGTTATACTCATGGAGAGAAAAAACAGTGTTGAAGAAGAGAGGTTAAGCTAAAGAATATATGCCCCTTGCAAAGAGCCTAGAGTAGTCTCACGCCTATGAAGACTTTCAAACTTCATATAGCATCACAAGTCCTCAAACTAGCTGTTCTGGAAAGCAAACGCAGATTGAAATTAGGCATAATTTTTGACTTACATGGTTTATCTGTAGTCAAAACCACACGAAAAATCACTGGAAAGCAAACTTTCCCCTTTATACACAATGAAGCTCTCTGGTTTGTACTTGTGACCTCAGTGTCAAAACACAGCACACAGTACACACCTGCCCACTGGACAGGTACATCAGGTAATCATTCCAGAACCTTTTACTTCTCTTCCAACCTGAATTCAGCCTAAAGGCAAGTTGTACCCAAAAATCAAGGGACATTTTAGCTTATGACATACCATTCGTGTTGAAACACTCTTTCTGATGAGTCCTGAACAGTCACAAGTTTAATCCAGTCCTGGCAGAATGGTCCGCTAGGTTATTTGGGGCGAATTTAAATTAGAGAGGAATGCAGACAAGTAGCTGCCAATCCTGTGATAAATCACAGCTGAACATAACTTTGAACTGAGTGCTCCATGCTCTGCACCCTTTCTTCCTTAACACCAGCAATTAAGCCATGCTGCTGTCACAGGGACAGCTGTGCTTTACAGACAGTCCAACAAAATCTTTTCTTCCTTTTTGCTCCTTTTTCACAAGGCTTAGGATACTGCCTTTTCCACTCCTTAGTGCAATTCTACACACTAAGAAGTTCAGCAAGGCTGCAAAATGGATAAGGTCTTACCCCAGTGTTTTATTAATGACTTCACACTTTAAGAGGACTCACAGCCTACCCCTCTGCTCAGACTTCCCTGTCTCTTAAACTGCTCGTGAGAGTATTGCATACCTTCTCTTTCTTTTCTTTTGTCTTCTTTTTCTCTTTATCACTTTCCTTTTCTTTCTTAGTGCTTGTCTGTTTTTCCTTGTTCTCTTTGTTCTCTTTTTTCTTCTGTTTCTTTTTCACTGGGCTCTTGTCCAAGCCATCATCCTAGAAAATCAGTCACAGCAGTCAAAGCTGGAGTCCTTCACCTCACATACACATTCTTCCATAAAACATGCATCTTTGAAAAGCAAGCATTTGTTGAGATCCATCCAGATTTGCCCTCACACCTCTTTAACCCGACAGCAAGATCGGTGCTACAATCCACCCAAACAACCTTGAACAAGAGGGCATAAAAATTATACGAGCCCCTGGCAGACTTCAGATAAGCACCACTTTCCTATGCCAGTTGTGCTGGAGAACACTCAGTCCATAAGGCAGATACTGATCAGAACATGAACAAAAAGCCTTAGACTACAAGCCAAACCACTCAATGACAGAAGGTTTTCTAAGCAATGGTATGACCTTGGTAAACTCCAGCTTCACCACTGGCTGATATACTGAAAAGAAGAAGGAAACAATTCTTCTTTCTCTTCTTTATAAGGACAACAGATTTTGTCCTGAGACCACCTTTCCTCCAGGTCAGCACGTGGATGTGTGGCCTTCTAGCATCCTCCCCAGAAACACCTCAAGTACTGACCTAGAAAAGCAGGTGGAAAAGGTCCTTCTTCCACCTCAACACTTGCACAAAATTTTTTTGTAAGCTTACTAGTCTCTTGTGGGATTGCACTCTATAGCTCCTCTTGACTTCACAGGACATTTGCCAGGGGTGCTTCTCAGCTTGAGTTTCCATAGTAACAGTACAGCCCAAGGAAACCTGGAAAAGCTGCTATCCAGGCTGACTCACCTTGACTTCACCTTCTTCTGACTGGTTGTCTGAGTGCCGAGGAGGGGAGAGTTCGTTCCCATGCTCATCTTTGACTTTGGGAGCCTTGTTCTCTTTCTTTATTCGTGGTTTCCTCTTCTTTAGCTTGCCCTGGAGAGAAGACAGAACAAGTCAGAGCAAGCAAATACCTACAAGCTGCTTCCTGGAGGCATAGCCCATCTCCTGAACAGCTGCAGGTCCTGCAGGGTGCCAGGATGCCTGAGGAAGCACAGGAAAGCTTGGTGGACCACATACAAAATTAGACAAACAAATATCAGCCAGAAAGAGGAATTGCTTGTGAAATTTAAGAGGTCAAAGGAATCTCTCAAACATCTACAGACTGGTGAATATGGACCAATGACAACAGGGTAAGAGGGCTGAACACTACCTGATTCCCACTGACACCAGGTACTTTATGGATATTTACCAGAGCATATCATGATGCAACTTCCACATGGGAAAAAAGAAAAGCAAAATATATTAAAAAAAAAAATATATATATATGTATATATATATATTTTTTTTTTTCTAGGACAATTTATGCTCTGTTTGAATAGCCTGAAGTGCCCCTTGCTGAGAATTAATGGAGTTTTCAGCATACGGACTTGTTTATTCCATCACTTCTCAGAAATAGCTTACTAAACAGGGCATGAGGCATCCTGCTCTCCCTCAGTGGTGTGCACACTCAACTTGCAGAGGTTTTTTTTTCTAAGTGACAAAAGTTGAAAATTTTCTGGAATTAGAGTGTCATACTGCAGTCCCTTGGTAAGTGCAATAACTAATTACTTGTCCCCCACCTATTATCACTTCAGCATCACAAAGCAATCAGACAGCAGATAAGTCAATATTCTTTCATGTAGGACAAACTCAGTGACCTAGCCACACAAGCTGTCTTGACTCCTACTAGCAACCAACCCCTTGTCCTGAAAAGCCCTGAGCCAAGCAGCTGTGTCTCACCTCTTCCCCATCTTTCATGTTTTCTTTCTTCTCCAGATCCTTCTTCAGCAGTTTCAGTAGATAATCAACTCGGGTCTGGAGCTGTTTTCCCTGAGGTTTCTTATCTGTCTCAACAGGTAGGATCTTTGATAAAGAAGAAAAAATATATAAATTTACGTGTACATATCAAACCTTGGCAAAAGAACTACACACTGGCAGAACTCCTTTCAGGTGCAGCAAATGGCTGGAGATGCTGCACCTTCTAGGGGGAATGACAAGGCTCAAGCATTTCCACCAACCTGAAGGACTTCACACAGATTCCCCCTGTCTATCCATAAGCAAAGCACCAAGCAAGAATCTCTCCCTGGGGCATTTTGCAGGTAAAAGGATCCCAAGGCAGCTCTCTAGATTCCCTACATCTTGGATGCGCAAAGAAAAAAAAAAAAAGCTCTGCAAAATGTAAGTACTTGCATTGCAGTACTGAGTCCACTCACTTTGATTCACCAGATTTGCTTGTGACAGCCTTGTCAGAACAGCCTTGTCCTCTCTGGTGGCCTCAGACATTGGTACAGCAATGTGCAAACACAGAACTTTTACTGGAAAACAAGGCTGCAAGGTACTGCTTTGTGGAGGACGTATTCCAACTTACCAGCTAAGGTTACTTTCTTATTTTGTTGGAAATTGGATGGTGTGTCTCAGGAAATTGTAAAATTCCTTTTCTGAAACTTCACATAGGAAGGATCTCAACAACAGTCTGATCTTTGCTAAAAGCACTAGAGGGGATGTCATGGCAATGAAGCATATTGGCAGCCAAGCTGATGCAGTGTCCCCGTGTTCCAGTGCTGCAGTGCACACTCCTTCCACAGTACTGACACAAGGGATGGCTGCTTATTTGTAACCAGGATCATTTCAATGTGACCCTTATAAAGAACTCTCATGGGAATGACCGAGGAACAGAGGAACTAAATAGAGGCTTTCCAGCTGGCTCTGCTCTTGCAGCCACTCCTGGAACTATACCCTCAAAGCTAACATAGACCACTCCTGACATAAGCAGTGTAAAATTGTGAAAAATAACTTCCAAACAGAAATTCAAACTCAGCTCCTCGTGAGACATTTGAGGAAATATCAAGTCACAATTATGCAAAGCACCCTCTATGCTGTGCATGGAACCACATATGTCAGCATTACTATTTTCTTCCTGCATCATTTCAGCGTGGCACATATGGGACTGTTCAAAGAAGATTTACTGCCAATCAAATCAGACAACTCTGCTTTCCATCAAGCATGCAGCATTCCACAGAGGTTGCTGTTTTCCTTGTTATTATTTATTATTATTTTTGGAATGGCTACAAACAAACATCTGTTTCTGGACTAAATCAAATGTGTTCTCTATGAAGACTGTAATGGACCCAATATAAGCAACATGCAAAACCACCTACCTTATCAGATAACTTCAATTCCGGATCTGTTTTAATTAGTTCCCAGTTTCCATAACCATGCTCATAAATTCCCACTAACAAGCGAGAATCTTCCTCCACTCCCCAGTCTACATCAAAATGGGCAGCTTTGACACGGCACGTCAAGCGGTACCTGAAGGCATTGCAAACATGAGCTACTTTTAATGCTGCAGGGCTAAAGCAAATTCACATATCTAGGCTAGTTTCTTTCCACTACAAAATCCAGATTCCCCAAGCTTCCTTCTGTGTTGCCCATTTAGCCCTTCAAACTCACTTCTTCCTTTCCTCTGGGTCTGCAGGGATGGATTTATGCAGCATTTCAAATTCCTCTTCATGCTGGATGATGGATTTCACATTCACTTGGACACCAGAGATCTTGATGGTAGGACCTCTTCTTTTCCCAGGTCCTTTCCCTGCTTAGTAACAAAAGACAGCAACTAGGAATGGATGTTTTTGTGTGGAAAAAAACAGTGCCTAGACAGACACACCTTACTCACAATTTCTTTAAACAAAATCTGCCAACGTAGGTTCCCTGTATAAGTTATCATTATCAATTCACTTAGATCTGCAACTAAAGCATCCCTCACCTTAAAAATACATCTAAGTAGGCTGGAGTGTTGCTTCAGAAGTTTTATACATCAGAAGCAGCAGAGACCTTGTGGAAAATCCAGCCCTGCATCTCCAAACCCCTGTGTATCTCTGCTGGCAACAGCTGCCTGGTGGAAATGGGATGATTTAAGAAGCTGCAATGTGGCATGGCAGCAAGAGAATGGCTTCTCATCAGCTTATCAACAAAAAACATTCTAACTGCAGCAATGCTCTCACTTACTTTCACCTGGGTTTTCTTTCAGCTGCTCCTCATATTCCTGCATTGCTGACACACAGCTGTTGTGGATGAGTTCCCCTAAACGCTTCAGATCAGCCACAGACTTATCCACCAGCTCAGCATCCCGGGCAATGCACTCCAGCCTGGGAAGGGGGAAAAACAAATTACAAGTTTTATATTTTATGTAGCATTTCTTATGCCAGTCGCTCCCTGAGCAAATGTGTCCCTGAGCTTTTGATTGTCAATAAATGCTCTGTGTGTATGAAGGCATGAAACCTTCATGAGTGGGGCTGGCACAGGTTTTAGTCCTTTTTTCAGTTCTGACAACTGCAATACAGTGTAGATGTAGCGTAACAGACCCAGTCCTTCATCTTCTTTAGTGTTAAAGCAAAGGTGAGAACTGTCTATCTGTGGCACAACCAGCACACTGATTGTGTGATTATGCTTCATGCCCCCCTTCTCAGTGCTGCCTTAGCTCCATTTGGTGGTCAAAAGCTGCCATCTGCTGACTCTTTTGCCTGGCTGAATTTCATAACATCAAGGCCCATACAAACCTTGCGTTTCACAACCAAAGAGTACAACCAGCTGGAAAAACAGTCATTTCTCAGACAACACACGCAGGGATTCCTGCTCTGGCTCCAAGACCTCAGTAAGGGTGCCAGCTTAGCAGACCCACCACATGCACACGGCTCCTTATTCATGCTGGGGCACAGCACTGGGGCTGTGCAGACCCAGAGTTGAGGGCAATCTCTTTCCCCACATCCCTTCAAGAGGGAGACAGATAAGAGAAAGATGCTCCGCATTCAATCTTGAATTTACATAGCTTGCTCTGAAAGTAATGCCTCCTATTTATTTCCATTGAAACAACAACAGGTACAAAGAGCAGAGTAACACCATTTGATATTGCAAATTCTCAGCTACAAAACACTGTTCTTCAGCACTGTCATTACCGTTAGCTATGCATTTTTGCCAGCAAAGAAAAAGAGCTTGCATGTCATGCTTGAAAAGATCTGCACCAGTGGAGGGGACCCACAGTTTCACAGCTGTAATTGCTAGGAGAACGTTGCCATGCAGTCCATCTTTCATCAGCCCATACAGATGGAAGTCAGAAGGTGCCAAATCCAGACTATACAGTGGGTGTGGTAGGACAGTCTAGCCAAGATTGGCAACGTGCTCAAATATCACCAAACTGGCATGAGGCCTGGTGTTATCCTTGTCTTCTTCTCTGGCCTGACTCAGGAATTTTGAGCCTTCAGCTTAGTCAGCACTGCAAAGTAGTGGTCAGAGCTGATGGTTTGTCTGGATTCCAGGAAATCCAGAAGGATCACCCCTTTTCCTATCCCAAAAGACACTGCACATCCCTTTATCCACTGAGGCCTTGTCTTGAAATTTTTATTCGATGGAGAATTTGCATGTGAACACACCATGGACTGCTGTTTTAACTCCAGCCCATAGTGGTGACACCACATCTTGTACCCAGTAACAATGTGATCCAGTAAACTGTCACCTTCAGCCTCGTATTGATTCAGTAGGTCCTGGCAACCTTGCATATAGTGTCCATTCTGTGTGAGCATTCACAGTACCCACTTTGCACAAACTCTGTGATATTCCAACATTGCCACCATCATTTCCACTGCAATGAAACCAGTACTAAGCTCTGTACGCAGTTCCCACATAATAATGCAATTCATTATTATTATTATTATTCATAATAATAATCCAATTCATAGGAAAATTCAACCTCTGCTGCCCTATCACCAAGACCTGCCTCTGACATCAGTGGCCAACATCATAAAATAGAAGCATTACTTTTGCAGCAGCCCTTGTAACATGTATGGAGAAACTTGACAAGTGTTTTAGGTTACATCTGCTGTTCAGACAGCTGCTCCTGCTTCTTTCAAAGCAGGATGGAAATGCCCCGAGGGCCAGATTCTGCCAGCAGCACTAGTGCTCCAGCTGCTCTTTGGGCAGCATTCATCAGTGCCCACCAACTGAGACATGAGAGACCATGTGACAGCGTTTGAAGCACATGACAGCAAACTTGTTGGGCTCTGTGCTGTCAGGTGAGGCTGACAAACACTTATGTGTATGGCAGTGCTCAGAAACACAACATTTCCCCCATGATAACCCTTTGGAGAAAGGCCAGGCTGAGACTTACCGCTCAAGAGGCAGTCCAAACTTCTTGTAAGCCTTGATAAACCTAAGAAAAGAACAAAAAAAAAAAAAAAAAAGGAACTAAAACAACTGCCATAAAACATGTGTCCAATATCACAAATATGTTTGGATATATTAATTACAGCCTGTCGTATTATCAAGCTCACATTCCATACTGATTAGCTAAGCATCACTCAGGACTGGGGAGCGTAATCCATTAACCCCCACAAAGAGTTCTGTGACCTCAGCTGGAGAAGAACAGAACGTTGTTATGAATGTCAGATGTTTGACAGATGACAAAAAAGAGGAGAGACAACTGTAGTGTAAAAGAAAAAAATAGAAGAAAGCATTAGCTCTCACCGTATGGGTAATTATTAACTTCAATTTCCAAGGATTCAAGAGGCATTAAATCAATGTCATTAGTAATTTTAAAGCTCAGGCTGTAAGTGTAACAACCTCTTGCAGAACAGCCAAATGTGGTGCAATCCATCACACAGCCTTGCAGACAAGAATTACTATTTATGTTTATTTCTTACTTTTTATTGTGAGAATCACTGCCATTGCTAATGGCACCTTCAAGGCAAGAGTCAGACACTGTTGCTGCAACTGAACAGTGTTCTGTGCTGGAAGTAGACTCAATGGCTTCAACTAACAGATTATTTTTAAATGAGCTATTTTTTCCCTTCTTTTTTTCCATCTTTTCCTCTTTCAGCTACAGCACTTTAACCAAAACAGCTGTTATAGGTCACATTGCAACACCTCTTTCCTCCTTGATGGTTTCAGGGCTGTATATAGGGCATCTGCCACAGTGCAAAAAGTTTTAATATCTCCTATTTTAAAAACATGTTTATTAGAGACAGAAGCAACAAAAACTCACAAACCCTTTTCTGTTTTTGGCTAAACCTCTGGGCAGAGCCAGAAGACAAAGGCCCGAGGGAAAGGCTTGAGAAGGAGAGGAAAATATGAGAAGAAAATAATACTTTGGAATTCAGTCCCCAGCTGACTCCTGGGACGCAGTGCAGGAGAGGATACACTATTGCTCTGATTGACTGGGCCACTGCTTCTCATGGGGCTCGTTTTGCCAGACAGAGCCTGCCTTTCACTTAGGCTTAACTCATCAGGACTACTGCCAGAAAAATGTCAGGAAGGCCAGAATCCTTGGCTTCTCCAGCACTATCTCATGGCACTTCAAATCTCATATGTAGTACAGAATCCACAGATCACATTGGACAGCTGCCTCAAGGACTGGTTCTAGGAAGGTACCAGTTTGACTGCACTAATGAAGACAATCCAGCCTGTTTTGCTCAGATGTGAATACTGAGATCATCAGTCAGTAGCAAACGGAATTGTACAACAGTGCAGAAGCTGTTCCAAAGAACTAGCTTCATATAAACCACTGATATGCTTACAGCTGAGCTTCTCTTAGATTACCTAGGCATTTTCAACACCTGTGTGAGGTTTCTATACTTGTTTACTGAACCATCCCTATTGCTCAGCACTGACCTCCGGATTTCAGCATCAGTAAATCCTTCCACAGTATCTTTTCGAACGCTCCGAGGACGTCCACGGCGCTTTGGTCTCTTCTCATCATCCGTATCATCAGTCTCACTTTCTGACCCCGACGATCTCTGAAGCCTTCTCTTAGTCTCTGCATCTGATTCACTATCATTCGTTTGAGCCTGTATGCAGCAGAAGGAAAGCAGGGCTGTTTAACTGCTAATGTGCCAATCTTTTCCATACCTCCCATGCACTGGAACTATTTTATGTTGAATCAACTCAGCACCAATTCCTGAAGATACACAAGACCATGTAATCAAACCAGTAAGGTTGTGCACACTTGCCATTTCTGGCTAGCTAAGCTTAGTTTCCCAACTGCATTCTGATTTACTAAGATATAAGACCTTAAAACACATTAATTTTCCATGGTTCTGTGCCACAGTACCCAAGGCTCCTTGGTATCTGGAGTATTTTGAAAAGCAAGACACCTGTGAAGTGAAGTGCAATTGCCTTACTGCAATCACACGATACAAATTATCCTTCCCTAGCTTCCATTGTAAATCTTTTCCTCATCTTATCCCGGAGAAGAACTCACAATCTCTCAAAGTCCCATATCTCAGCAGTTTCACAGACTGTTGGATTTGGGTAGATCACATCACCTAAATACAAACTTAGGAAGATAGTATCTCTTTTGCCCTCAAGAGATACATTAGGTAAGAATAGCTATAGAACCCAAGGGAAAGAAACAGACTGAAAATGACAAACTTCATTAAGATCTGCAGTATACATTTAGTTATTTTGCCCTGTGCTCACTACAGGTTTTCTCTGTCTACCCAGCATGAGCTGTACCAAATCCAGTGTGAGCTCCTACACTGTATGACAAACAGTGGGTCCAATGCTTGATGCCAACAAGAGGCCAATGTGACTTTGTGGGTTATCCCTAATCAGCTTTGGAGAAGGGGCAGAAGCACAGGAAAGCTTCCCCATAAGCACTGCCTTTGCCAGCTCTGGCCTCCAGCCCCTCAGCTCTTGGAGATGTGCTGTACCTTTTTCGTTGAGCTCCGGATGCGAGGCAGCATGTAGATTTCCTCCAGTTCTTTCTGCCTTTCTTCCTCCTCCACCTTTTTCCTCTGCTCCTCGGGGATGATATCGTCCCAGTCCTTTTGGGGCCGCTCGTCCAGCTCTGTCTCTTCCTCCTCCATGGTTGCAAAGTTAGCCACCTTTTATAAGCAAAGAAACACTTTCATAAATTCCCTCCCCTGGCAGGAATGCCCCAGAGCTGTCTGCTAAGCTTCAACTTCTTCACCAGGGGAGTTTTGCCAACGTTTCCATAATTACTGTATAACTGATCCTTATGTCACTACATTCCTGGTTCTTTGCCACGTCTTTGGGCTAACAACTCTCAAGAAAGTACGTGCAGTTTAAAAAGTACTGCTGAGCCTAAGTTATCGTTTTTGTTTCCAAATTTGGTAAATTCAGCATTTTATTCACAGCCTTCAAGACCACTTAAAAGGAAATGAATACCTACACATCTGCCCAACTACTACATCCAGGCAACCCCTCAGAAAGCTGCTCTGTACAGAGTACCTCTCTCTGGGCCCGATTTGTCCTGTCTGTTCCTGACCCCACCATTAGGGGAAGACATGGGGAGCCACGTTCCTGCACCCCACTACAAGGGTCTGTACCTTGAACTGTGACAGCAGCTCATCGGTGGCACTGGTGGACACTTCATTCTCTCGTGTTTCAGCCAAACGCAGAATTTCATCAATGTCCATCTCCTAACAGTCAGAAAGGAAAGCATGTCAAAGAGAAGAAAGGAACAGAAGGCTTTGAGAATAGACTTACAGGGTGCAATAGCTAAATACTGATTGTGCTGATATGTCCTAAATGAAGTTCTAACATCTGCAGGGCGTCATCAGCAAGGGGCAGGGATGAACTATCTCATGTGGTACAAAAGCATATAAAAACAGTGACAGAAGAAAAAGAACATCAAGGCTAAGCAGCAGGGAAAATTTTCCAACAGTGAGATGTATAAACTCTCCCTCAGGGGTAGCTCTGCTACTTGAGCCACTAAGAGAACTGGTCAAAGCACTCAATAATAAACTGCTTAGCACTGCTGTGATGAGAAAGGAGGGAGTGACCTATTTGACTTCATTGTGCTGGCTCCAGAGTCTCCATGAGAACAACCCAAAAAGAAAGAAGCTGGAGGTGCTCAGAGGAGACACAGAGTGCAGCTTTCCTCAAGCTGTGCTATAACTAACTCACGAATCCTAGGGAGCCCAGGGACTCTCCTGGTGACCATTGTTATTTAACCCCCAACAACAGCCCCTGATCCCAGCAGCAGAGCTCTCCTCCTTCAGCTTCCTGGGACTCTCATGCACCCTATTCACCAACTTGCTGCTGTGCACAGAGAAAGTACAAAGAGTGAGCAGACATAAATATATCCCCAGTGCAGACCTGCAGAGGACTACCAACAGTGATGTTATTTCTATTTCAAACTACCTGAGGCTCTGACTCTTCCCCTTCAAGCTCCTTAAAGAGATCTTCAGCTCCAAACTTCAGAATAGCTGTCAGCTCTTCTTTGTTGAAAGGATTTGAACTGCAAACAGAAAAGAGAATGAAGACGGGTTTAGAGCCATTAAGTCAGCTTTGTCACAGCACAAAGCCATTCTGAAGCTTTTCCCATCTAAAACAAGGAGCAAGATTTCTCCTTGGCACCTCATCTCTTTCCTACTCTGGCTTGAAGAGCTACTGCAAGGGGTACAAGCCCCATCTTTTGAGAAGAAATGGGGAGAGTCTGAGGTCACTGACAAAACGCTGTTCCATGTTGCCACCACCAGCTTCCCTCAGACCAGGATGATCTCTGGTCTGGTGGGAAGAGGTAAAGAAAAACAGGTAACGCATTTCAATTTCTGATCATCTTTATCTTCTGTGTCCAAATTAATGATTGTGTGAGGCGAATTAGTGGAAGCTCCCTTTACTTATTAGTGAAAGCCTTCTTCTGCCCCATACCCAATCAAATCAGTACATATCAGAAGGTGAAGCTGGTTACACCACATACTCTATCAGATGTGTCTGCCTCCTGACACAACCACCTACTTGGATCGCCCAGAGTTGTTGTCCAGAACAGTCCGTCCAGTGGTGTCCATACGCTGGATCACCAAATGATCCAGCACCATTTTCTTCTTGGCCCTCTCAATGATCTCCTCCTCAACTGTACCCTTTGTGACCAGGCGGTAAATATTCACCTGAAGGGCAAGAGAAGAACAGAGCTGTTTTCCAGGACCTGAACACACTGTGCTGACACAGTGATGCATCCTTGAGTTGTTTCAGAGGCGACTCGCCTGCTGACATGCTACTTTCATGCACAGATTTGCCTTTTTAGAATAAAGACAAGCACATTCTTTTGTCTCAGGGGGACCACTTCAAATCAGGATGGTTAACACATATCTTGTAGTGTACAAAAGGCAAAGTACGAATCTACTGAAAAAAATCTTAATGAGCATCAAACTTCCCACATCTCTAATAAAACTCTAGGAAAAGATGGATATTCTATCTAGCAATTTTTATAGGGCAGGAGTACGTGAGGCTAAGAAATGTGATGCCACTGATGGGGTTCTTCATTTGGAACCATGCCAGGACTAAACATCAACAGAAACATCTAGCAATGTTGGGCTTTTTGCTTCCTGACCTTTAAATGAGTTTCCCTAGGGATAACATTACTCTGCAACCAGGACTGGGGGCAAAAAGACCATGTTTTCACAAGTTGTGGTGACGTAGGTGCTCTCTTAAATGCACACACTGAAGCCACAGAGAAAATGACTCAATGCAACACTTCTGACCTGCTTCTTTTGTCCAATGCGGTGAGCCCGAGCCTGAGCCTGAAGGTCATTCTGGGGGTTCCAGTCCGAATCAAAGATAACAACAGTATCAGCAGAGGCCAAATTAATTCCCAGCCCTCCAGCTCGTGTTGACAGTAAGAAACAGAAGTCCTGGGGAGGGAAAAACAACAACTAAGTTAGCCAGCCTATCACTATGGATATAAAATAGAAATGGTGACTACAAAGTCACACAAGGAAACCAAGGGAGGCTCTTGTGCATTCGTACTTCATTCGAAGAGAAGGAAAAGGCTGAAAGCCAAGGCACAAAGTGAGGAAGGTCAGGTGAGGGCACCTTGGAGTCACTTCTGAAGGTCAGATCACACTGCACATCAGATCCCCACGAAGGCAGCAGACAGACACGTGCTTTTGTTGTCTGCAGTCTGTTGGGGGTGAGATCAGTTCCAAACATGGAATGTTTGAGTCGCTGCCCAAAGGTACAGGGTGCCAGGACAGAAACAGGATTATCTGAGATCCCCCAGGAGAGGGGAAGGAGCAGCTTCCATGGACAGTCCTCCTCCCTTCTCTCCCACCCGCACTTCTGTCTTCTCACTTTTATTTATTACATTCCCCACTATCACAAAGCACCTTCTTCATCTCCTGTGCCAAACAAGAGCACAGGCTCCTGGAGTGAGGACGGACATTTCCCGTGGCTGGGGGATGGCATACGAGTGCCCTGCACCAGTCACTGTGAGTCAGCAAGCCCAGACAAGAGGCTCAGCATGCCCTCTCCTATTACGCCGGAGACTTTCACCTCCAACACCAGACTTCACTGCCTATTCTTAAAGTCTCCCTTTTGCCTCTGCCATTTCTTATCCACAAACAACTTCAGACTGGAGGATTTATTTAGCAAGTGGCTCATTCCTCAGACCATGAGGAGAGAATTGCTAGATACTGGCTCTTCCCAGCCTCTTTGGCACTATCTGGAAATCTGCCTTACAGCCCCATTCTTTGAATGTGGGAGATTTGAAACAAGCGATATGGATGACTGCAAAATGTGTCGTGTCTGTATTAAAAAGGGCCAGGTGTCTTGTCAGAAGAAATGAACTGAGCTAATTCCCTCCTGCCACCCACCAGACCCCTCTGGAGGCAGGGAAGACCCATCTGCCATACCTCAGAGCCGTCAGCGTTGAAGTGGTCCAGCGCCTGCTTTCGGATCTCCCCTTTGATTGAGCCGTCTAAGCGCTGGAAAAAAAAAAAAACCAAACAGCAATAACAATTAAAAATAAAGAAGGAAAAGAGCCCCGTAGAACTGTTGCAATCAAGTTCTGGGAGCCCGATAGCCCCCTCCCCCGCCCGTAGTGTTTAATCATTAAAAATAGCCACCAATTAAAAATAGCTACACTGCATTGCGAGGGCAGGAGATGGTATGCTCAGGCAGCAGTCACACAGCAGTGACGTTCCAGCTCCTGTTACAGGCCCCCAGCCAGGATCTCTGCATTCTCTATCCTCTTCTCAGGGTTTATTACAGGACGAAGGCCAGAGAAGGAGCACAGCAGAGGAAGTGTTTTGCAGAGATGTGGCTTTATTTACTGAGATCTTGCATGCTGGAAACATGCCCCATGCAGCAACCTTCAAGAAGTGACAGAAGTCCAGAGAAACAGCAAGAAAGATGGCAAGCCAGCATCAGTGGGATGAAAACAAGCTGCACAGGATGCATTAGCCACCTCAGGTAAAAGAAATGCAGATATCAGCATTTCTAAATAGCTTCAGAGAGCCAGCAAGGGAAGCAAGCTTTAGTGTTGAGCCATCTGTACAAAACTGTGTGCTGGTATATGCAGGGAGATCTGCATCTGAGGGCTTTTGGCATAAGCACATCAGTTGATCTCAGCTACAGAGATAGATCATGGATACGAGTGTTTCTGTTAGGCAAAATCCAAACCACAAGATGATTGTTTAGTGATTAACACCCACCAATAAATGTTTGAATCCATTGCGCAGGTTTATACCAATCATTTTGACTCTCACTTTATACATCACCACTGAGACTGTTGTGAGAGCAGCCTTCATCTACAGCTCTCAAAGGACATAACATTATCCTCACTTACAGACAGCAAAACATCTACAGAGAGACGTGCCATGCCCAAGAAGCATCAGACACAGTGAGGCATCACATGCTCTCAGCTGGCTTCTGCCTCTCCATATGTTCCCTTCCTTGAGTACCACATTGAAAAGAAAGGTCTTTCCAGTTCCATTCAGTGCATTTCAGTAAGAGCGATCTGTAATCCAGCCACCCTTAGGGACACCCAGGGACACCCTTAGAACTCGAGTGCCTCTCACTGCTCAGGCCCCCTCCTTATTTTCTTGAATTTTCAGGTGAAGCCCACGTGCTATTTCTCACCTGGAAAGGATAGTGTTTGATAGTCAAGTACTCTGCCAAGATGTCCAGCATCCTCACCATCTGGGAGAAGATCAGGACTCTGTTGCCTCTGTCCCGCAGCCTGGTCAGCAGCTTGTCCAAGAGAATTAGCTTTCCACTGCTCCTGATCAGAGACTGAAAAAGTAACCGTCATTCCAGCTGGTGCTTTCCAACCATACTCCTATGTACACTAGAGAACTGTTTCTTTTTCCGGTGCCATACTTCTCCTGCACCTCTCTAATCAGATCATCTGTACTTAGACAGCAGAAGGCGCACACACAATAAATCACCCAAGATAGCTCTCATACAGCATTCACCTCTTGCTCAAAACTGCCACAACGTTCAGCTGTCAGTGCATAAGAAGGGCAGGAAATTCAGTGGTTCAGTTGTGATGACAGTTTCCCATGGTCAGAAGCAAAAGCCTCACCAGATCTTATCTCGGAGGGAGAATGGCAGGAAGTAGAAAATAAAGGAAAAATAAAGATAAGCAATGTCTTTGCCCACCTGCAGGGTCTCAATGCCATTCTCTCTCTCATTTTCCTCAGGAGGCTTGATAAGGTAGCAGTGGTTGCAACACTTCTTCAACTCCATCACAATGTTTAGGAAACCAGATGTGCTTCCTCTTGTTCCCTTTGAAAGAGCCTTGTAGTTTCTTGTCAAAATCCACCTGCAGACAGGAAAATAAACAGATCAGATCATTCCACAGTGAAAAGCAGGCCCGCTGGAGCCCAAGATACAAAACATTCAGGGATACTTTAATTCAGGCATCAGTCTACACTCTTCCCTAGCACCACAATTCTGTGCTGAGCTTTACTCCGCCAAGATACAGTGCCTGCCCTACAAAGCTGGCCAGTTGAATTACTATGATGCTAGAAAAGTATATCCAGTAGTTCAGAGCTGGGTAACATGAGGGGGAGATACCACCCAACCCTACCTTGCATTCCTACTGGGAAGCCCTTCCTGCTACATGTGCTGGCTGCCACACTGACACCTTCAGAAGGACACAGCATACTCTGTTCTATATATACTGTGCATATTCCCAAGTCACAAAGAAAGATGCGCCCAATTCTGCTGGTACTCTCAGTAACTTAATAAATGACTCACTTGTAATACTGCTTCTGCAAAGCAGACATTTCCACACGGAGGATCTGCTCCACTTTGGCTGGCAAAGATTTCTCCACATCCTTCTTCACTCTGCGTAGGAGAAACGGCTCCAGGACTTTGTGAAGGCTCTGGTAGCCATTCTCTCTACCTTTCCCATGATCTTCTTCAAAATCCTCCCAGAACTCAAACCTAGCAACAAAGATGAGTAATAGAAAGGAGTGAGAATATCTTGTCTTGTGGTACCAAGCAGGAAATATCAAATATGCTCACACTACACAATGAGACAGGAGACCATCAAGTTGATGTATGCACAGTGAAGGATAGAAAGTTCAGTTTTCTCTGGCTAATTGAGCGGACTGGTGGCAAAGCTAGCAGCTCTCTGGGTTTAAGTACCTCCAAGTATTTCACTTTTGAGCTTCACAGTTCCACATCAACCTTCCAGGACCCAAAATCCCAGGTTTCCCCAGTATTTACTCTGATGTCACCTGCTAGCATTTACCTAGCAGCACTTTCCACAGTGCCCATCCTTAGGCAGGGTTCTGTCAACAAGATTATGTTTTACACTACTCAGATTACTTTTTTAGACTGCTGATTTCTCTAACTCCTCTGAAATGTGGATATCTGTCCTTCTCCACCTGGGAGACCTCAGATCTTTCCTTCGCTTCTTCTGTGATCCAACCAAGAATTAGGGAGACAGCTCCTTCTGTAGTCAAACATCATCTGGATGAGTTTGGGGACATGCCTGTCTTGGCAATGCACATTACCTGTTTTGTTTTTAAGAAAACATCTGTTATAATGTAGAGAGGCTAACAATCAGCTAGGCAGAGCTGTCTTTGAAAAATACTCCCAGGGACTGCCATAAAACATTTAGTGAGAACAGCTGAAATGCCATGTATTGGGAAATTCAGAAATGGCTGAGGTGATTGCTTAAAACAAATTCAGCTTTTTTAGAGATGGCACTTAAAACAGCAGACAGATTTGAAAGACATGTTTTAAGTTTCTTCATTCAACTTGCTGCCAGAAATACTCCTTGTGTTAGTCGTTTAAACTCGACTTTTCCTCACCAGTGTTTGTTCCCCTTAAGCTGGTCTAACTCCATTGAGCTTAATTCAGGGATTTCTGCCATTCTGCTCTCCCTCAAGTTTAATCAGTGGCCAAGACAAACATACAGAGGTATTTTACGAAGCACCAAAAGGAGACTTACTTCTCAGGCATGATGAAATGCAGCAGGGACCAGAGCTCTTTGAGTGAATTTTGAAGCGGAGTGCCAGTGATCAGCAGCCTGTGGTTGGACTTGAAGTCAATCAATGTTTTGTACAGCAAAGAGTCATCATTTTTCAACCGATGGGCTTCATCCACGCCTAGAAAGGCCCAGCTAATACTTCCCAAAACAGCCTGGAGGAAAAGAAGTGTTCTCCATCACCACAGAAGAAAAAGAGGTGAAACCCACTAGTCAGAGGCTGGCTTCCCCATTTGCAAGAGAGGATCTAAATAAAACACCCTTGGACCTTTACCCACCTTGTCTTTGAGGAGGATCTCATATGTTGTGATAAGTGCATTGAATTTCAACCTTTTAGACTGAGAGTGGATCCACTCATATTCACGTATCTGTGAGAAACGACAGATGTTACCATCAAGGAATATTATCGAAGAGTTAACGATCATCATTTTACTGTAGCTACAGCTAGGATCTCCAATGAAGTCCAAGCTCTATTGTTCAATGTACCATTTGATGAGCAAAGGGCGTCCAAGGAGCAGCTTGTTTGAGAGCACACGTGGTTTTTACACAAGTTCAGACAAGTAACAAAATTAAGTCGAACAACTTGCTGTTGTGACATTACCCCATCATCTCACTACTGACACCACCAGGCTCACAACACGTTTTGTTGCCCTGTCTGAATAATTCAGAGGACATTCAGCAGTCTCCATCAGCTGCTCCAGCAGATAGCACATCACACACATTACATGCTGCACAGATTAGCACCCAGCGCTTCCATCCAACCCCACAGGCTTTGCAGATTACACACCATGTTCCTGCTCATGAGGTCACCGATGTAAACCACCACGTTGATCTCAGGTGCCCACACTTCAAACTCTCTCTGCCACGAGGTGAGAGTCGACAAAGGAACCACCACCAGGAAAGGACCGTACAGCTGGTGCTGGTGGAAGAGGTACGACAGGAATGAGATTGTCTGAATCGTCTTCCCCAGGCCCATTTCATCAGCCAGGATCACACTGTTGTTCCTGAGAAGGAAGAGAACAAACCTAAGTACTGATTTAATGTGTTCCTATCATTTCAAGGCTGGGTAAAAACCTCACTTGAGAACAAGAGTGTCAGATCCCGTTCTCTGGGACAAAGCTTAGGAGACCCAAAATGAACAAAGCTCATTTACAGTGCTGACCAGAGCATCACTTAGTGTATGTACTTACTTGCACCATGAGTGAGCAAGCCAGTTGAGGCCCTCCAGCTGGTAATCTCGCAGCTCCAGGTTCTCACTGCCAATATAAGAAGGCTGTTTCTTCAAGGCAACAAATCTTGGTCTCTGCTTCAATACCTGAGGAAAACAATACACCATAAACCCCCTGAAGAAAAAGACAAGGTAAGATTGAAAATTCAGCAATGAAATCTGCAGATTCAGCAATGAGTGTAGATTGATTTGTCAGTTATTGTCCATCCACATTTTCTTATCTGTTTCTAGTATCTACAGTTCTGACGCCTCTCAGCATCGTTACGTTTTGCCTGCTGACCTCCAGGCCTGATGATCAGGGCTCAGTCCCCACAAGAGTGCAATAAGCTGTATATAATGCCTATTAGATGGAACAAACTCCATTTTCTGTTTTGGCCCCTTCTAGTTTTTTCTTCCATCTCCATCACTCCCATCTCCTCCATCTCTCTCCCACACTGTATCAGCATCTTGCAAACTTCCTCTTCTCCCTGGTGTGCTGTTTTTCTATTCAAGTGATACTAAAAATCTGCATTGCTGTAGCAGCACCTCTTCAGGAAGAAGCACTTTGCAAGGATTAAAGTTTCCAGTCCCCCATGCTCACCATGCCTCGAGTAAATGAAACCAAAAGGGGTTCACATCTCTGCCTAAAGTACAAGAACAGCCAACAACCATTCAAATGCTGGTGGAAAGATGGGAAAATACCCTCTGACATTTATTCTGACAAAACTTCACATTCACACAGTTTGCTTCATCACCCAGCCTGGAGAAACAAAGCAACAGAAGAGAAGAGAAGCAAGCAAACCTTGCAGTCCCGGGTAGGAATTGTTTTGGAGTTGTTACGGTTGTTGAAGCTGTCAATGCAGTGCTGAAATTTCTTGCTTATCAGAGCTTCATCTTCCCAGCTGCACTCTGCATAGGGCAGTCCCATCCACTTGCACAGGTATTCAGGGTCATTCGAGGATGTTTTGCGACTGTTTGCTGCAAAATATGCAAAAAAGCCCAAACCTCAGTTGTATGGCTGAACCACAAGTATGGTTCACAAGGGCAGTCTGACCCATCCCTACAAACACAGTACAAGTTTGGCTAGTAGGAAAAGTTTAGAGAGGCCAAAATTGCTCCTTTACCTGGAAAGTCAGCATGCCCCGTTGCAGACTTGCTGGTCTTCACAGCTGTGGTAGGAGACACAAAGGAAACAAGGGTTTGGTGGACTGAGAGCCAGCAGGGGGAGCAGCACAAACAGAGCATCATGTGCTTTGATAAGAATTGTACGGAAATAGGTTGTACAGCTCTCTAGGCCAATTCCCAGAGCAACTGGATGCAAGCATCTCTGACTGCCATTGCTAAAATATTAGTGCAAAGACCCATTTTTTATTTTTAACAAGTCATGAAAATCTAACCCCTGAGCCACCTTGCAGCCTAACCACATCCTTAACCACAGTGTCACAGAAAGCAGTCCTGGAAGCAGCCAAACCTGTGCTTCTGCAAACACCTTGCCTGCAAAGAACTGAGGTCAAAGAACTACACCAGCAGCAGCAACTTCAACAACCTCCTTGAGTGAAATACATTCAATGCCATTCTACAGGAATATTGGAGGGCAAGGAGGAAGAGGAAGCTCCTTCTTACTTCACCCCTTTACAAAAGTGTTGGATTCACTTACCAATTACTCTCTCCACGATTTGATACTGTTTGTTCAGCTCTGAAGCCAGCTCCTGTTGACAGTTGAAATATTCCACATCTTCAGGCGATACCTTGGCCAGCCTAGATACAAAAAGAAAAACGAATCAGGCATTATAATGCTTTTGTAGTGTTGAAGTGCTTACTGAGGCCGTGTATAGAAATTCTACTTTATTTTTTGATTATGTAGTTATGTGACTGAAGCAAACTACTGCTTAAATGGCACGTTTTTCAATGCTTCCTATAATAAAGCATCTCCTATTATAAAGCTTTACTGAGAAGCAAATGTCATAGATATTCACAGTTTCCCTGTTAAACAACTCCTTATTCTGCTGCAAGAATTAGTCACAAAAATGAAAATCAAACAGTCAGGGATGGAAGCTGCTGCTCCAGCTTTATCACTTTGGAAACACACAGAAGTTCTCTTTATAGTCCTGGGGAGGTCAGACAAAAACTCACGTATAGACAGGCTCATCATTAACATGGGTTAACAAGGCTGCCTTGACAAAGCCTGCCTTTGACAAAAGCAGAATACAGCAGTGTGCCCTGAGATGAGCCCTATTTCCCAGCACAGCTGCTTAGTTTAGCATGCCAGGTTTCACTGCTAACTAGGAGCCCTTGTATCACCTCCGGAGTCAGATGCACTTGTGCACCATTTATTTGTTCTCAGCTACCCAACTCCTGAGCCTGAGAACTGGCAGCGTTGTGAAGCTCTGCCTCTTCTCTCCCTTTCAATACTACAGATATTGTTTCTATAAGGGGGATGGTTTGACAGCAGGCAGAGAGAGAGAAAAGTGTTGTGAACTGAAAATGTTTGCTTTGGATGGAATATGCTTTGCAAGAAAAAAACTGAATGTTTTCAGTCCTGACTGTGCATACCTATGGCTAAAGAAGATTCACCCAAAGCCATATATCACTGGTTGAAATAGAGCATACCATTGCTTGATCTCCTCCTCCTTTTTCTTGAAGTTTTCTAGCTTTTTCAGGCCCTTCACTTTCTGCTGTTGCAGGGACTCCTCACTCTCCCATGTGCTGTGGATGTACGACCAGCCTTTCCATTTGATCAGGTAATGAACCTCTCCCTCATCCTTTTCAGGGTCAAAGTCAGCACTAGGGTTGCCATTAGCTTCAGTTGCATACACTGTGGTGGAAGCACCAGTGGCTGCAAAAGAAATCAGGCTGCAGTTGGTACCTTTGTTAAAAACCACTGGCCACGAACTGCATTAAAGCAGGAAGTTGTTTTTCTAACACATCCTTTGTGACAGCACAAAGAATATCCTACAGATTCTTGAACCCGATGAGACAGGCACACAAAAGTTCTCCACACAACAGGATCTTTTTAAATCTCTATCATAAATGCCTTTTTTTATTTAATATAATTCAAAGGTCTCTTGAAAATATTCAAGACCATTCAGTTTTACAAAAATACTTTTGTATGGCTATGAGAACAAAGCATCAGCTTTATTTCCCATTATGGCTTTGTCAATAGAGCTAAAAAAACTGACTCTACTGGAAGAGCTATTTTATCATTTAAAGGGGAGAAAAACAAGAACTTGTAGAACAATGACTGCATCTTTAAAATGTGTACACACTAAAAGACAGCTGCCAGGCATATAAACTTGACATTTTAGGTTTTTCAATGATTGATTGTTTAAAAAGAAAAACAAATAAAAAAACCTCTAGAAGGAAGAAGTAAGAGGCAGGCAGGAAAAGGTGAAGAGCACTGAAATAACCCTGGGCCTCACTGGAAGGCTTCAAAATTGCAAACACATTGGAGCAGTTGAAGAGAAACAGAGAGTGCATGACTGAAGTCAGAAATAGCCGACACACCTCCTTTTTTTCCAAGCCTGATATCCAAGACTTTTTCAATAGTTTCACTGTTGTCTTCATGTTCATCAGCCCCTTCCCCAGTCATCTCTATCAGGTCATCAGAATCCGTCTCAAAATCGTCGTCCTCCTTGTAACTGAACAAGACCAAAACCAAACTGATAAAAAGCCCTTGACTCTGCCCAGAAACACAAGAATGGCTTATTACATAGAACAGAGCAACACCTCCAGTATTTACCCTGGGGCTCAGAGCTTGTTCAGCACATGCACTGCTTAAGCAAGCCACCTCACACTTTTTGATACCTGACATTTTTGGCTGCTCTTCGTCGAGTTTGTCTCTTAGGAGTTTCACCATCTTCATCATCATCATCATCTTCAGATGACACCTGTCTCTTTCTCTTCTTCCCACGCTGGAGTTTGGGAGGTTTTTTAACACTGGTTTTGGCCATTGCTCTAAAATAAGTATTAGGAGAAAGTGTTTTACTTCAACATCCTTTTCTTTTTTTTTGTTAAGTTTTTAAGAACATACACATTTCAGATATTAGATTCCCAGACATTTACTCTGCTGTAGCTCCCATAGAAACCACTACGCCACTCACTGGACAAAGCAACCAGGTCCACAGACTTGTAATCTAAGGTAATACTGAAGAAAACAAACATGCTTTAGGAGGCAGCTGCCTCTCCACCCTTGTAAAGGTAGGAAAGATGCAGAAAAAGAGATACGGACTGAACCAACCACTCCATACCTCCTTTGAACAGGTCTTTTTGCTTTAATTCTCTTCGGTTCAGGCTCGCTCTCTGCACTGGTGCCTTGATCCCCTCCATCTTCATCCTCTTCTTCACCAGAAATCTCTCTTTTCCACTTTTTTCTATGGTCAGAAAAGTAGCTGATCAAGGGCCATCATATTTCAATGCAAATACCTGACTAAGTAGACACCCAACCCAACTGGGTTGATCCTAGCAGGCCATGATCACAACAAATCAACACTGCGCTCTAGCTAACAAGTTGTTGGCTGTGATGCGTTGGGGATTTTAGGCTGCAGTTCTCTGCCTCTAGGAACAGGTCTCAGTCACCTGGATTTTAGTTAGCAGAGCAGCACGAGTGGCTCCTACCACGTGCTGTGGCAGGGCTGCACCCCGCACAGCCGGCGTGCTTCAAGTTATTTAGCTTTCCTTTCCACTTACGCATTTCTGAAATGAGGTGAAAAAAAATATCTTCGGGGTGATTTTGAATAAACAGACATTTCTGAGAAGTGCTCGCTTTCGCTTATGGTTTACAACATGCACTGATAAACTTTCTCCTTGCTGCTCAAAACCCACAGCACTAAGTCGCGTGCCATTTAGCTTCAGGCAATTCAAGTTTCCAGGGTTGAAGCCAAATCCCACTATGTGTTAGTGCAAGGAAGCAGATTCTCTGTGGGTTCAGAGCAAGACCTCAGCTCTGAAATGCCCCCTCTCTCCAAGGGGTACATTGGGAGTCCTTCCCAAAAGAAGTCCACATTACTGCAGCCCTCCCTGGCTTCTATTACCTCCCCTGTTGTACTGCACTGCTGTACACAACAGAATGAGAAATTAAAAAACAAGAAAGAGGAGAGAGGGAGCTGGACCACGTGGCATCCTGCTGTGCTCGAGTCTTCTCCAGCAGGCAGCTCAGTGGTCTCATCAGCACGCTTTAGTTTAGGAAAACTAAAAGGTATTGATTGGATGGAAAAGGCAGTAAAAAATACTAAGGGAATTTGGTCATTGTGATGAGATTCAAAATATCCTTAATGAAATGCTTTATTTTAACTTATCAGAGGATTATAGAAGATTAAAAAAAAAATGATTTGACACTTTATTGTCCTTTTCCTAAGAACGGGAAAGGAGTGAAGATTCAATTATTTTAAGTGTCACTGAATAACAAATAACATCATGAAGAAGTGAAAGACTGACAACAAAAAGTGAAGCTGGCTTGTTTAGATTTCCTGGACAGGCAAAATGGGAAAACAATGAAAACGTTGGAAAATTTCATCCATCCTAGCTTTACATTCGTACTTGAATTTTTATCACCCAGAGTATTATTACTGAAAATAGTAAATAATTCATTTTACAAGCTTTTCATGCTGACAATGCCTGTCAAACAAATATTATTACTCTGAAAACAAATGAATAAATAATAATACCACTATTCAAAACTCTTTTCCCTAGAAACTTACTTTCTTTTCACTTGCTTCTGGCCTCTTCTTTTTGGGCTCTCATTTTCAGATTCGCTACTTGCCTTTAATTGAAAAGAAAGAAAAATGAGGTTGTAGGCTTTACCCTGGATCGTCTCCCCAAGGACACAGCTGGACACATGCAGGTGGGGTGAGCTCAGACACAGCTGCACCGCTCTCCCTGCAGTCAGAAGGATGCTCTGGGGAGCCATGGGGCTGCAGGAGTGCTGCCCACTGCCCCACACTGCTCCTTCTGCAGCAGCTCAGCTCTTTTACAAGGCTGTAACTGAAAAGTACAGTGGCAGAATGCAGAGCATCCATACTTGCCACGTCAGTATGAACCCAGTAATGGTCGGGGATGGATCAGACTGTTTCTGTGAATTGCAGACCTACCTTTCACAATCACACAAATGCATGACAAGCTCTACTTTCATTTCAGAAGCTTTCTATACAGGAGGAAATTCTCCTAAAAGGACAACATTCTTATCACAGGGGTGTTCCCTGCTTCCCTGGATTTTTCTCCCACAGCCAAAGCAGCTGAGGAAGCAGATGGGTCAGACCCTGCCCTGCTGCCTTCCTTCCTGCAAGCATACCAGCCTCCACCAGCAGTCTCTCTAGCTAAAAATATTGAGAGAGATGCTATGTCCTTGCTGAACTATTTTAAACGTGGGTGCCATCAACTCCCACTGACTGAGAAAGCTAGAGAAGCTTTGTTCTGCACAGCCCTATTTTTGTAAAAGCCAGTCAACCATAGAAACAGATCCCTGCACACACAGCACCCCGAAACAAACAGATGACTTTGCCTTAGACACTTGCTACAGAAAGCACAAATCAGCAGGGAGCAAACTGCAGAAAAAAGCAGAAGGTTTTTAAAGAGTATTTAAATGCTCTGAAAAGCCTCAGGACTGCTTGCTGGATGCATCTTGCTCACCTGAAACCCTCTTTTCAATGCTGCTTTTTGCTGCAATATCCAAGCTGTGTCAGAGAGGCCCTGCTGATGAAGCCTGTCTTTGTCTGTGCCTCCTGTACACCCACCACATTCAGCAAGGCTCACGCCAAGAGCTGTGCATGAAATGGCACGAGCTGCAAGACCAGAAGTCGAGGGGGTACAAAGACATGCCCCATGTCTCTGCAGCCTTTACTTCTATCTTCCTTTTCCCCCCAACAGAAACTTCCTTTTTGCTCAAAATGGAGTATTGGATGCTGTGTCAAACCGAGGGCGCTGATGTATCTCTCAGGGGGTTTCATGCCAGATTGATGTGTGGCACAGTGACACTCCTGCACTGCAGCTCAGTGTGAACGTGCTCACTGCCTGTTCCACTTCCTGACATCCCTGTCTCACACACCAAGCATCCAGGAAACAAGGGACTGGCTGACAGCACTGACTGCAGCACAGCTAACAGCAGCTGTGCGGGTGGGAAATAATAGCCATCTCTCAGTGAGCACTTACTTTTCGCTGTCTTTAGGCAAATCATGAGCAAAGAGCAGTGAGTTTTCCTTCTGCTCTGCATCAGTGAAGACAAGATTTGAATCACAGAATCGTTTAGGTTGGAAAAGATCTCTAAGTCCAACCATTAAGCTAGAGCTGCCAAGTCCAGCTTGGTGAAGTTTGTAGAAAACCAAATACACCCTTTATTGTTTTCTGAACTTCATTCCATTTGACAAAATCCTACTTTTCAAGATCCTGCTGTCCACTCCCCAATGCCTCTGCTCTTCTCCTGCTCTGTTGCAGTTTCTACATAGCCGTTGCTCATCTCAACAACTCATCTTTTCCTCTTTCTGCCTTGAAACAAATCTAACTTGTGACTCCAAGCTCAGCTGCCTCCAGCTGCATTGCTCAAAGCGCCGTTGTCTCTTTCAGGCAGCAAGCCCAGATCTTTCAGCTCTGACACAGCCAGTCCCAGCCTGAGTCACCACTGCCTGTTGCTGCTACAGCCACCCCACGCACTCGGTGACTCAGCCTCTGCTCCCTGGTGCCCTCGTCCACCCCAGCATCACTTCTCACCCACTCCTCCCAGCATCCTGGCACCAGGCTGCCCAGGTCCTGCCATGGCTGAAAGCTGCTTAATACTGTTCTATATGTAACAATTACAAAATAATTAAAACACTTTTTAGAAGACCATACTATATGACTCTCTCAAATTTCTTGACCCAGCTGCAGAACTTAGCACTGACTTGCTCCAATTGGCCCAAGGGTGCCCACCAGCCAACTTCAGCAGGAAGGCAAAACTGCATTAAACTCATGTTTTAATAATGTCACCTCTCCAAGTGGCATGGGGAAAGGTGACAAATTCAGTCTCCACCAGGACTTTATCAGTCCAACAAGAGATGTGAGGTGTGTGTTTCTCTCTGAGCCTGCACACCTGTGCTATCCAAACTGCCTTCCTTAATCCCCTTTTACTGAATGCTGCAAACACGCCCAACCAATTCCTATGCCACTCTTCCAATTGGACTAGAGACCTGCCTCTAACTGTTTGCAATCCCCACCTCAGAGGAAGGGTCAGTCCTCCCTTTCCATGCCTCACCCAATCCTCCCATATAATTTCACACAATTATTTGAGCTGGAAGGGACCTCTAAAGGCAACACCCCTAGATCAGGGTGCACAGAGCCCCATCCATCCTGACCCTGAATGGCTCCAGAGATGGGGCATCCATCATTCTTTCTTCTCTGCTAGTACTTACAGTGCACACACTTTCCTAGATTAACTATGCTGCAACTTACCACGGAGGAGTGCTATACGAGACATGACACCACAAACATCTCACTAAGCAAAGCAGCAGCAGCTTTGCAGTTCTGGTCCCACAGACTGCCCAAGGTTGTCCCCTCACCAGCCCACGGAGGGGGCTTCAGCCCCTTGGCATGGTCCAGGCAGTGCTCTGGAGCTCATGCTGCCTGCTAGGAGATGGGAAGGCCCAAAATCTCAGACTGAGCTCAGGTATTTGCTCATTTCAGGCTTAGCAGAGACCAAGGTCTGCAGAGAAGCTGGAGACTGCCAGCTTGCCAGCTTAGTCTTCTTGTGTCTCTGATGTTTAAAATCTGAACTTTCAGCAAAGATGTGAGAAAGAGCATTAATCAAAATGCAAATGGGCAGAATTATATATTTTTCACAATGGTAAAACCAAATATATTTTGGGAACAGCTGTGGTGCATGACTTGTGGCCTCTTTCACAGAACAGATGCACCATGACATTTACTACTAATGCAAATTACAAACCATCCTCTTTATAGCCAATGGATTGTGCCTGTTTTGGGCGCACTGCTTCCTGACTGCCCTGCTCTGCGTGTTTCAGTTCCCCTTGCTGAAACCTGGAGCTGATTTATTAGCTGCACCCAAAACGCACAGGCAAGGACCGTTTGTTCTGTAAGCTCACATGTGCTCTCATTCCTGGAGTCAGCTTCAGTGCTTCGGGCAGCTCCTTCACCCTATGCAAAACAGCACTTCTGCTTCCTGCCCTTCACAGCCCACACTTCTGTCTCAACCAGAAGTTGCCAGCCTCTCTGCTTCCATTTCAGAGTTCCATGAGGTGCCCAATGCCCTCAGGGCACTTCCCAGAAGCATTTCAGGCACTCATAGGGAAGGAGCTCTGCCCAAACTGGTGGTCTTGACAGAGATTGCAGCTTTCCAAACCTGAAACAACTCTACCAACCCTGACCAGGGGCAGTCAGAAGGCTGGAACTGCTGCAGCCTGGCACCGAGTCTGACCCTCTGCCCAGGTAGTGCTGCTTGCTAGTACTGCATAGAAGTGTTAGGGAAGAAAGCAATTCAAAGCTCCTAGACATGGTGCTGGAAGTTCCAAGCAGCAAACAACAAGAGCAGGTTACTGGTGACAGGCTTAGCCCTGAAAGGCAAAAAGCAATCTTAGGTGATGTCAAGTGCCCTGTTTTGCTGCCAGCTCCAGCAGCGCTCAGCACCATGCAGGATCAGCTCTGCTGTGCCCTTCCCTTGCTGCTTCAGGTCTTCCAACAGCAAGACTTGCCAGGTCCCACTCTCTGCGAGGCCCCAGCACTGTGCCTGACACATCACACCCGCCACTGGAGTTGCTCTATGGGAAGCAATCAGTGCTGCTTCAGGAGGAGAGGGGGGAATGAATGGATTGGTTCAATTTCATTAATTTTGGTTTTCTGTTTCATGAAGGGCTCATTCAGAGGATTATTTTTTTTGTTTTTTACAATATTTTGTGGTATAGCAAAGTTTGTACATCTCAGGTTTGTTTTTTTTTTTTTAAAAAAAAAACTTTATCGTACCTTAAATAGTAGGAAATAAAGATATTGAAAAAGAAAACAACATTTGCAAAACCACGTAATATTGTAAAACAAAAAATGACAGGACTTACCTGAACCCCTACAGGGCACTGGGGCTGCAGGCGAGGTCTGTGGCGGGTGTGACAGTGCCAGCACAGCGCATAGTGCACGCTGGGGCATCAGAGAGAGGCGGCCGGTGAGCCTGGGCTTTCCTGAACTTGAAAAGGAAAACAAAACCCAAGTCAATGACGTGCCAAGGGCCTTCCTAACTGCTGCTATGGGGACATCCAGCGTAGGAGATGGCAGAGACCTGTGTTATGCTTGCACCTCTCAGGCATCCACCGGTGTATTTTGGCATCAAAGCACAAACAGCCTGACCTGCTGAGAGCACCACCAGGCTCCCGCCCTGCCCAAAATCTGGCTGCTTCTCTGCAGATTCCCAACTGCTTTCGTATCAAAGTATCCTACCCTGCAATTTCAGTCTAAGCCTGTTTTTTTGCTCCTCTCTAACTACTTAACCTTCCTGAAGATCTGCAGACGTGCACAAGGTCCGATAGACAGAAATGGAGGCAGTAGCTAATTCCTGCATCTTCAAGGAAAAAGCAAGTCCTGAGATAGCAACAACAGCAAGTTTTGCCTGCCACCTTCAATCAAAGCACAAAATACTCCTGACATTCAACCAAAGTGATGGTTCATAAAGCTGAACACACGCACACAAATGCATTTACGAGCACGATCCATTCCAGGATGGGCAACAACAGCTGTTTGATCGTTGTGAGGTGTTTCAGGGCACTTTCTTTTATTCCTGGTTGGATTTGCATTGTGGTTTTGTGTTTTCCTTTTTAAACATCCACTCGTCCTCTCCAGCAGGTTTCTACAGCAGGGCATGACCCATGCTACGCCCCGCTCTAGTGGCCAGATGAATGTGTAGAGACCTCAGCCCATGCAGCATCCCACTGAGATCAGAGCTTTTGGACCACGTAGACTCCAGTGCAGCACCAGGACCTCAGTTCTGAACTTCACCATCCACAAACCAGGCTAGGACTCGGTGTTTACAAGGCAACGCAGATGAGACCTGCCTTTGTTTTCTCTGGGTTTAGTTGTTTTTATACGTTCAGTAATCCCTCATTCTTTTTTTTTCCTTACCTCATCTTTTATATTAAATCGTGACGGTTCTTGTCTGCTTCGGTTTGACCTCCTAACCCCATAAACATCAGGATATTCTTCCCACATCTGCAAAATAAACAGACCATCAGCAGGCCTGCTTCGTTCCATTATTTCTGATTTCTAGAGAGGTTTGACGGTAAATGTTAAAAAAATAAAAGAATCAACATAGCACCATTAGGGAATTTTGATAGCAGCAACTAGTAGACAGATGTTTAAAAATCTGAAACAGATCACGATTATTTTGGGCTATTTGGTAATGCTTTCAAGCATACAATTTAGCTTAGCATTATCTTTATACTGGTCATCTCTCCCATAGGACATAAAGCACTTTCTACCTTATTTAGGCTGAAGGACAGAGCACCGAGGCAGCCAGCCTCAGCAGCAACAAGAGGTAGCACTGTGCAGGTGGAATGAATGAACCTACCAACACGAAGGGATGATTCAGTCTCGCACACAGCCCTCACTGCTGTTTTCCATAGAGAAACCCTATTAGCTGCCTGCCGAGCCCAGTGGCAAGGGGTCACCAGCAGCAACTTCACGTGCAAAGCCTGTGACCCATCCTGAATGGCAGCTGAGCCAGACCACCTTATTCTTCTCCTGCATGCATTGACAGAACGTGGTTTGGCAGTGCAGGACTTGTGGAAGTGCAGAGGTGACTATTGGAAACAGCTGTGCTCTGTGTGCTATAACCAGGCCCCACAGCAACTTCATACTGTGTACAAAAGCAAGGATTTGTTCCCTCTGGATGGACAGGAGGAAGAGAGGGATTCAAGAACTGATGTCCTGATGTACAGGAACGTGCCTGTGTTGGGGATACATAACAACAGAAGCTTTACAGGGCAGATGCAAACCCCTGACCTGCCTCTCCAACACCTAAAACAATCCCTCTGCCTTGGCCCTCAGCAGTTTATCACTTACAGCTTTCTAAACCTATTCAGTATTTATCTGCTTCTCCCTCCCTCCAGTTCTCAAGTATCTCAGCAAGCAGCTGGCAGGAAAAAGAAATCAAAATGCACTGCCAGTCACTGCAGTGACTTGGGACCACAGGCATGATGAGTGCAAGGCTGCAGCCTGGCAGGTTTTTTTTTTTGCTGCTGTTGGAAAAGCAAGAGGCTAATATGACAGCGGCCTAACTGCTGGCGTGTCTATCTGTCAGGAATAAAGGCAGAGAGAAATTAAGAGGTTGTTTATTATCCCACATGAAAGAACAATTCAAAACGCTCTCCCAGCTATTTGAAGAATTTGTCTTTTTATCTTTTAAGTGGCAGAGCTTTTGGAGGAAGAATTGCCTCCCATTACACATCAGAATAGAACCACACACAAGTGAACCTCACCTTCATGGGTGTGTCTAGACAGAGATAGAATATAAACAATAATATAATTAATTGACTTGGCTATTCAAGGGGAACAGGTATCGGCATGTCTAGGTTAGACCTAGCTAAGGAAAACGCCCATTAACAGCAGAATTAAGGGAGGGAGAAGCTTCCTTATTAAAGGGTGTCTTGACCTTTAGAAGTTTTATCCATGCTAATTATCCTCTTCTCTATGGATGCGTTCCCTCATGGCGTAATCTTAATGTTCATTGTTTGGAACATGCTTCTAGAAGGCCACAGAAGAGACAACTTCCAGTAGTCTGCACTTACCAACAATAAAAGAGAAATCTGAACACTGTTACCACAACTGCCTAACAGATGCATTCTTCCCTGGCAGCCTAAATATGGGAGATTTACTGCAACCTGAGCAGGCAGGCCAGAGACTGGTGAGAGGAAGAAATATGTGTGCTGTATTTAACACTGCAGGTATGTGGGGAACACGGGCTGCAAGCACTGCTCTTCTTATGCGTCACATACATAGCAATTTCTCCACAAAATTCCATCTAGTGAACGAGCTGTGAGAAGTACAAGCCACAGTTATGCAGAAGAGGCAAGTCACACACCACAAGGCAGAAAATCACTGACCTAGCCTGACCTTCCTCCCTCCAAAAACCTCACTTCACAAAGTTCCTATCTCCAAATGGGCACTTGGGCTCCCTTCTCCTCAACTCCACAACTGCTGCACTATGGAGGTGCAGCAACCAAACCAGAGGCAAACCACCTGCAAGCCCACCTCTATCTGTGCAGCAAGGAGGTGAGGGCAAGCCTGCCTGTGTAGGTAGGACAGGGATTTCTAAGGGAGCTATGAAAAAAAAAAAACACAACCACACAACTGTTCTGAACATAACAAATAAAAAGGTTAAATCACTTTTTTCATTTTTTTTTTTCCAAAGAGGCAGGTAGTGATGGAAACAAACCTAAGTGGCCCAAATAAAAGATAAGCACTTTCCCAAGTTGCAACCCGTGGGGAAGCTTTACTGTTTCTAGATGGAGAGATCAGACATGAGAGAGGAGTGGAAGGGTAGAGGGAGAGGATGAGATGACAGTGTCACTTACTAAAGACAGGTTCCTACTCCTCCTTCACTACCTGCCTAGTGCCCAAAGGGCTGTCACATCGAACACACAAGTTCCTGCTCACACCAATGACGCAGGGCCATAAGTACACAAACCAAATGGCCAGCAAGGGGCTTGGGGACACCAGAGGAGGGAGCTTGTTTGGTTGACGTGCAATTCAGGCTGCCAAGTGGCAGGGAAGTGAAAGACAGCTAGGTTCACGTCCTGTGTTCTGCCCGTCCACGGTGGATGCAGGGTAAAGGCTCTGCAGAGCAGCAGGGGGCAATACCTTTTTAACATCTGCTATCCTTTCCTTCTTAGAGGCTGGTTTTTCTTTGGTTTCAGGAGGGGTCTGCTGGGATTTTGAACCCGTTGATTCACTTTCGGATTCAGACTGACTTTCAGAGGACTCGGAGCTGCTGTTAGACTCGCTGCCCTGCTCGCTGCCCTGCTCGCTCTCAGACTGGCTTGCAGAGTCAGAGCCAGAGGCTTCTTCGGATGCCGAGTGACTAATGGTAGAGAGAGAAGAGATTATATTTTAACTGAACTGTCAACAAGTAAAACTGAACCACATCCAAGCTGCAAAGCTTGGAATAGCCTAAATGCAAGCGTGAGGCACGTGGCTCCTGACATATGCTCTGCTTTGTTGCACTGAAACGGACACAGTCCCCTCCCAGGGGACTCCGCATTCACCTCTGCTGAATGCAGAGAGGACAGCACCTGCTCCTAATCACTGCTCATCACCCAGAGCAATGAGGGGTGCCACGAGGAGCAGCATGAGCAATACCACCAGCACTGGTCCTCCTGCTCTTCTCTCCACTACATCGGGTACAATCCAATTTCTGAAAGCACCAAACACTGTGCACATTATATCATGTGTTGGAAAACGTGACATTCTTTTCAGAAAGAGTAAATTCAGCAGCAGAAAGGAGCTTTATCCAGTAAAAGGAGAGCAGAATATCTCCTCCTGTGTTAACATGCTTTACATCAACATGTTAATAGCCACACATTCAATTAAACACAGGTTCCTCAATAAAACAAAGCAGTGAGAGGCTAAAATACTCAAAATACCTTTTGGTCCAATCTCTCCCACAACACATATTCTGTTTCTCTTTCTAAATCCAAGTAAAGAAAAAATGGAAAACTCATTATAACATATTTACCAGTAAGGCAGTATTAGAAATCCCACCATCACAAGCTAAAAAGCAGTGTTGTAATGAGAATACAAATCCCTTGAACGAGGAGCTTCTCCTTTCAAGTCAGCTCTTATCTGCTGCTAAATGCTTCCATTATATTTGAGTACATTGCAAATACAGCATCATGAATAAAGAGCCAGAAAAAACTTCACAGAGGGAAAGCAGATTTTTAATATTTCCTCTACTTATTCAAGATACATTGAAAACTCTGCTCAGACATCATGATTAAAAATATACCAAAGACAAATAAAAGCATATATGTAATTACATAACAATATGCAGAAATCAACACACACTTCAGAGGCATCCACTAGCTGCAGGCAGCTACTGCTGGCATGCACATCCATGTGCAGATGGGACCAGTCACGCCGGCGAAGTCGGATCTCCACTCTCAGCCCCAGATGCTCAGAACTGCTGTAAGTCCTGTGAGGCCTCCCTGCAGCTGGGCTGCAGCTGCCTTCTCCCAGGGAGCGGGCAGAGGGCAGCAGCCGAGCGCAGCGGGAGCCTCATCCCAAATCCCTCCAGCGCAGGGCATGCAGCCAAGCTCCCGGCCGCCATTTCACAGTCATCCCTCCTCCACCATCTTAGGAGTTCATTGCTGGGGTGGTTGGTGTTCTGGGTTTGTTTGCAAGGCCAGGAATGGAAGAACTTAGCATTTGTGGGGGGGAGGGAAACAGGAATAAAAAACAGCTGTGAGCTGAAACGTCAAAGGTAAGAGACATGGAGGCTTTTCCAGCAAAGGGGAGTGGATGCATCATCACTGATGATTGCTGGTTTCATTGTCCCATTTGGTTTGGACAGGGATGAGGGTATTGCAGTGCTCCCTCCCAGAAGGACAGGAAAATCCAGCTAAACTGCCACCATGTCCTGCTTCTGCACACCAGCACAGCTCCTGCCCACCAGCTGCGGCACTCCCAGCTCCCACACCTGGCCCTGCCCTGCTGGGCCCCCAGGCACACCATCCCCCTCCCCAAGGTCCTCACTGAATTCATCCACAAATCCACTGACATCTGCTCAACCACACTTTTCCAACTCAGCGTCCTTCAAAGCAGCATTGAAACTTCTTTGCTGGGGATTTTTGGAAGATTCAGCATTTATTCAAGAAAACCAAGGGATTTTTATTAGAAACCATTGCAAAAACATCCAAGAAAACGATTCACCAGCTGTTCTTGGGACAGCAGGACACATCCCGTGAAGCCACCCCCGGGGCCCTGACCTCAGAAGACATCTGGAAGCATCCAAACCCTTGCTGCCACCACACCAATGGCAACATCAGGCTGGCACTGCATTAAGTTGACAGTATTCCATGGGGGCACCGAAAAAAATAAATAAATACTTTTCCTCAATTGGATTTATTAGCAAGAGCTGGAAGAAATTAGAACAATGCTGGGGCCAGACAGCATTGCAGTATTGTGCAAAGACAGAGCAGCAGTTGCTGGCCTCCTCCCACGCCAGAGCTCATTCTTTCTCAAGGCCCTGAGCTTTATTACAAGGACAGAGGAACACAGCCTTCCTAAACACAAATAGCCATCACTCATGTACATTACCTATGTTATGCAGACTCTATCATTATCTTCCTTGACGTGAACAGTGCTTTCTGAAAAGGCCATTTCTCTCGTGACAGGCACAAATGCTGCACACGCCTGCTCTACTAAGGAAAGACCCCCTGTAGTAATTTAAGCAATTAAACACAAGTTCCAGAGTTGTTTTACTCTGATATCTATTATATTTAAACTCCAGAAGGTCCCATAGATGAGAACTGGTTATGTCCTTCTCTAGCTGCTGCAAGTAATTTAAAACAACAGTGAAATCAGTTAAGACAAAAGGATATGTGCTTGTTGTTTCTATATTAAAATGCTAAATAATAATAAGTCAATTCCATAAAATGATCTCTCCTAAATACCACTGAGACCATCGGGGGAGTGCTTCCACCTGCAAACTGAACACAAGGGATTAGCAATGTGACACATCAAATCAGGTCCCACCATTGTACATAACTGAACACTGAAGGGCTCCTTCCTGAGGCTGGTTTGGGAATACATCCTGCTTTATCATACGTGAGTCAACATCCAAAAAGGCCTACTTTCTATTAAAGTATAATTGAGGGTAAGCTATAAACATCCAACCTGTCCCACACACTTCCAATTCAGTATTGATAATCACCCATTAATGCCAAAGTCACAGCTGGATCTTTGGTAACTGCATTAAAGTGAGAAATTTTTTAATAGAAATTACGATCTGCTAATGCTCAGCAGATCATGTTCCTTCGTTTTCTAAGAACTACTCAGGCTATAATTCTGTTTTAATTAAGAATCTGCTGGATGAAAGGAAAAAAATACACAAGTAAAAAACAACTAAATCATCCCTTACCAAGAAGGACACGTTCCTTCCAAGAAATAAGTTGGCTGAATGGCAATGATAAGACCTTTCACAATCAGGCATCTACATTTACAAGGCAATTACAGCATGCCTGAAGCCTCCTGAGTTAGCATTTAGTATTTCACATCTGAGCAACGTGACTTCTTTCTATAGGAGATCATCTTTGCTAACAGCAACAAAACGTTTTAAATGCTCCCAACAAGTAAAAACAGCGGATGCTCTCAGAAGATGAAAGGCAAGCTGACAACTCTCAGCACTGACCCAACATGTTGCTGGAGTCAAGAGCTGCCCTGGAAATGGCTCTTTCCAGCAGCTTTCTGCCCACACTTCAAAACTCAGCTTTCAATAGACAGAAGTTGAATCCAGCCAGTAGGAGAAGTGAGGATGAACGGTCCAACATCCTCCCATAAGCCAAATCCCTCCTGGAAATAAGATTTTTAAGTATTCAACACATCACTGCTTTGAATCTAAACAAGTTTGAATCCCAACAGCAACACTCTGCTAGGCTTTGCAAGCTTAACTGGCACTTGGTGCTGGCCAAGTAACCCCAGTGCTAGCCAAATAATCCTAGTGCAGGCTCAAAACAGTCTTCAGCACAAAGTCATCCAGGGGCTGGATAATATCAGAAACGAAGCTTATTGATCCCCACAGGCAAATGTATGCTTAACCCTTGTGTACGGCTGAGCAAAGCTTCACGTGGTATGTAGATGATAGAGGCCCAGGTCCCCACTTTCATCTCAGCTCACTGAACTGGGGACACAAGGCACCCACTCCCACCGACCCACCTTTACTCGGCAGCCCATGTTCCCAACACTCACCTTTTGCTTGAGCCAGCACGAACTGGGTCTCCAGAACAGTGCAAGTACATCATGCCTAGTAGTACAGTGGAGAAAGGGGCCAGCAGTATGACTCCGATTTTGGGGTAGGAAGAAGCCAGTTTGGCTACACCTGAATCCACATCGTCCTCCTCCTCTGGCAGAACCAACTGATCCTGCCACAAGGGTCAGTTGCATTCCAGCCCCATGGCAATCCGGGTTGGGAACACAGCTGAAAGGGCTGGGACATGTTCCAGACCATACACTCGGCAGGCACATGAGACTGAGCAGCTGTGCATCTCCCTCAGCCCCTGGGGGTTGCATCTTTCAGGCCCAGCTTTACCACTAGAAAGGGTTTCTCACTCCCTTTAGTTCTTCAGTGAGGGCTGCCAGCATCACCACTCATGGAAGTAACCCTGAATTTACTCCAAAGCACACAGTGGCAAAGATAGTGCAAGCCACCAACTCACAACTATTTAAAGATATGCTTTCCTAATATGACCTACACATAGGTGGTTCTACACACAAAGGGAACGTGACAAACCATGTAACATGCTCTGATCCAGCCAGATCCCACACTGTTTTCTTTTTAACATTTCCCTGAATCTAACTATGATGCCCTCTATTATTATATACATACACTGCGTTTACGTATACCAGGAACAAGCATTATCAGTTAATAGTGATGCATGGCCCAAGACACACAGTAGCTGTTAAAAAAAAAAAGAAAAATCAAGCCATGTAGATCTCACCTGTAGCCATGGAAAGCAACATGAGCGGTTGTGGCTACAGGTCACTTGATAAAAAGGGATAATAAATGGATCACAGGAACTGAAAAATTCTCAATAGGATCTAACCTTTGCCTAAAGAAAACAAAAAAGTTCACAAGCCAACGCTATACGAAGTACAGCCACGAAGAAAGAGACAGTACACAGAGCTTGTAGAAGAGCTTACTGAATAACACCCAACCTGTGTCACTGAAAATAAATCCATTCATAACTCTATAGGCTTTATTTTCAAAAAAGTGATAGGCACCCACGCTATGGCTTTTTCTAGTGATAACAGTTGAGACAGTTTAGTCGACAAAGACTAAAGTTTCCCAGCTTGGGTTAGTCAATG